AAATTATAGCATTTATAATATAATATAAAAAAATTTTAATGAATTGATTGTAATTGTGACCTTACTGTAATTTATAATAAATTACAATTTATAAAAACAAATAAATGCATAAATAATAATAATAAATTTTAAATGATGCATTTTAAAATAATTGACTTATAAATACATAAATAAATTTATAAATAAGTTATATAATGAATTTTTATGTATCAATTTATATACCTTGTTGCTCACTTGACAAATAATTTGATTAATATTATAATAATTTTAGCAATTTGGCTTTGACAAATTATTATTATAGGCTTCCAATATAATTAATAATTGTTAATAAATCTTTGGAGTTGTTATTGCAATTTAGATTTTGTTTAATATATTTAAATTCTTTGTATCATTTTTTAATTGTTTGTATTAAATTTTTTTTTTTTAAATACTTTAATTAAGTTGTATTTTCAAACAAAAAAAAAAAAAAAAAAACATTTCAAAAGTATATAAATTTATATAAAATACCACTTGTAACTTATGCATTTTAAATTATTTTTAAGGTAGTTTTAAAATAGAATTAAATTTAAAAAGGCAACTAATATTTTTTAAAAAAAAGTTTTATATAAATTTTCAACTAAATTTTTATTTTTTTTTTAATAAATATGTTTTAAATAGAAAAAAAACATTTTTATATAATATTAAAAAAAAAAAAATTTTTATTTCATTTTTGTCGATTTCAATTTTTTCGTTAAATTTTTTTTTTTTTTTTATAAATATAACTGTAAAAATTGTAAACACTTTAGAAAATTTGTTTATTTAAAACAATATGTAAATTATTATGGCATATTATTGTGATAAGACTGAGAGGAGTAGCTTTAAAAAGAACTGTAATAAATAAATTTTAATGTTTACAATAGCTTGCAAGAATTAGATTGTAGAGTGTAAACAAATAAATAATAAGCAGTAAAAGTTATAAATAATATTTCCTCACAAAATTAATTAAATTTTAAATAAATACTTAACGGGGAAAAATAATTAACAAAATGAAATCATTATTTTTTCTTTTGACTTATGAGACAAAATTTTTTTTAAAATGCGAGAATTTTTAAAATTCAAATATAATTAAATGATTGAATTTAACTATTTATATATTTTTATTTAGTCACCTTTTCCCTATACTGTGAACAAATCGATAGGATTACAAATCATTTGTTGAGATTTCTTGTGAATTAAAAGTACTTTTAATACAGAATTATATTTATTATTTCACTCCATCAATGATTGTCGTAAACCTCTTTGTAAACGTAATGAGTCAAGCAGGCGGTGAATCAAAATGGCAGTTTTAAGTTGGCATGCTTGCTTCTTCATGAATCTGAAAAAACACTGACTCTCGTTATCCGCGTGGTTTAATTTTTAATTCGTGAAAATATGGATAAACCCGTTGTATTAGCCAGAGTTATTAAAGTTCTTGGACGTACAGGATCCCAGGGGCAATGTACCCAGGTCAAAGTTGAATTTATAGGGGATCAAAACCGACAAATTATTCGAAATGTAAAAGGACCTGTTAGAGAAGGAGATATCTTAACCTTACTCGAATCAGAAAGAGAAGCTAGGAGGTTAAGATAATATTACTACTTAAATTGGTGAGTTTACTGGGTTTTTTTTGACAAATGCTAAGTTTTTTTTATGAAACTTATTGAAAATATTTATTTGCTTTATTTGTACAATATGTCCATGTGGCAGTTTACTAAAAACTTAAAACTTGTTTTAAATTTGCTTTGAATAATGTTTTAAGAAGGAAATATATTTTGTTTCAGATTTTTTATATTATAATATCAAAAACATGGAAACACAATATTCACACAACATCTACTTTTTCTCTAATATTCAAATTTATATGATGTATGCATTTTAATTAAAAAGTGTTTCTGCTAAAATTGGTTTTTCTTTATTTACCTATACTAAATAAATGTATGTTACTTATTTTGCTGTTTATTTTAAAATTTTAAATGTCATAATTTTATTTTGCAATAAATTTTTCTCCCCTTTACATTCGAGCCGAAATAATTATTGATTAAAATTAATTAATAATTTGATTTAAAAATTATGAAAGGTATCGAAGTTTGTGAGTTGGAGTTTTTATCGAATTCTATAATTTAAAATATATAATATAATTTTTTTTAAATTATCAATTTATATTACCAATTTTCATACTAGAAACTTGTTTATTATTAAATAAATTTAATAAGGAACCTGAAATATGACAAAGAAGAAATTTTTTTTCTGAATTTCTTTTTGTAAATTTGTAAATTTTGTCCTCTTTGGTTTCTTGAAAATAAATACAAATTGCAGGTATGTAACCATTGCAGGTATCAGATTAAAGAAAAACATTTTTAATCAGATGAAAAAAAAATTAATTTATTTTTTATAAATAAATACTACCATGATTTTTTTAATTAAGTAATAATTAAGACATTACAATAATATTTTTAAATTTACAAAGTAATGAAATTTGAATAATTTAATTAACAATATAACATTATTTGTGGAAAATAAATATGAAAAGTAAAATAAAGGTATATAAATTTAGGTAAAGGTAATAATATTTACTGTAAAAAAAGTAATGTCTAATGTCAAAAATTATTTTTCGCAACATTAAAGTTGTATGCTAAATAAAAATTATATACAAATTAATTGTAAATATGTCTATAAAAAAAAAAAAAATTGTAAATCATAGTAAAGCATAAATTATTTAATATTTCACTTTAGCTTTTAAATATCACTAAAGGTTATTAAAAAAATTTTCATGAGTTTTTGCCTAAATAATTTTAAAATGTTTAATAAGTTTATCATGATTTTCAATAGTGGCTAATATTCCATCAGAGTTAACTGTGTTTTTTATATCCTTATAATTAATGTCTTCATTTTTTAATGTTGTCATTTTACCCCCTAAAGCTTTAATTATAGCATTTCCTGCACATATATCCCATTTTTTTATAACAGAAGTGTGAACATAAGCAGTAACATTTTTGCTACAGACTTCTAAACTCTTGTAACCAGCTCCTCCGGCTTTAATTACACTAAAACTGTTTCCAAATGCCTCTTTAACAATGCTTTCAACTTGTCCAGAATGTGACCTTGAAACAATCACAATGGGATGAGAGTCATCTAATTTTTTTTGAAACTTGGCATATAATTCTTCAGATACTCCTTTGCCCACCCATCCCCAATAAGTCTTTGGTTCTTCTCCAAAAGGAAAATGTATGACTCCAATTACAGGTTCACCATTGACAGCTACACATGCCATAGTAGTCACATATTCTAATAAATTTTCAGTGAACTCTTTAGTAGCATCCAATGGATCAATCCACATTGTTACTTCCGATGATAAAACTTGTTCATCTTTAATATCTTTAGAATTTTTTAAAACAATGTTACCTAAATCTAAAGTTTGTAAAGTTCTACAATCTGATTCAGATGAAACTTCTTCTGAAACCACTTTTATGTCTGGAAAAGTATGAGTCAAGCTATAAAACATTGCACAATTAGATTTTTCATCAGCATCCGTTATAGGATCATTTACTCCTTCCTTAGTTTTCCCTTTACTTCTTTCATTTAATTTTGAACTTTTATAAACGTCTACAACCTCTTTACCACCTTTTACAGTGGCTTCGATAGAGGCGATCAACAACTTTTTTAAACTTACAACACTTTTGGTTTCTAAATTACTACTTTTATTTGAAGTCATGTAATAAACAAATAGAAACATAGCACCCACAATAATACATATTCCAAGTTTATTTATTCGAATTTTGCCCCCGAAATTCATTGTAAATGACTAAAAATTCAGTGATGTAATTGATGACAACTCAATATTAAAAAAAGTTTTTGCCACTAGGCAACTTAATTCATCACTATTGACTTAATGAACTTTGAATTTTCTGATTATTATTGCTGCCATTGATGACCCGAAATAATAATTTAATTTAAAATTATTATTAATTATACAAAATTAAAATTATAATAAATTTGAATTAAAATTTATAAAAAATAATGTAAACTGCCAATAATTTAACATGGCACGATAAGTAAAAATTCTAAATAACTTAAGCGCTCAAACCTTTGTATTGCCGAGAAATTGTAAATTTAAAGTTTCTGAGATTACATCTTAAAAATTAAAAAATTTTACGTTGTCAGCACTGTGATATTCAATGGCGACCAATGGCGTCGATGTCACCGTCGGAGGTAAGTTTAGTCATATTCCTTTTTTTTTCCGTATTTAATCTTTCACGAAATTCACGTATCCAACGTTACGTTTTCGTGTTTATAATTTTTAATAATTACTTGAAACTTTTGTACATAATTTCATTTACATTTCTTTCGGGATTGATTTTCATATGTGAAAATATTTGCAAACATATATAATTTATGACATTTTTTTTGCAATCGTTTATTCAAAATAAATTAACGGTTTAATTAATTTTCGAAGTAAAGTACAGAGTATTTCATCGTGCAAATTAATTTCAACATTTTGTTTTTATTTAAAAATATAATGTTAATTTATATAACTCGATGTAGGTTTCTTAAATATTTATCGGACTTTAAATGTAATTATTTAAATTAGAGATTTGACTTATTTATTAGAGAAAAAGTTTTTTTTTATATTTATAGTAGGTGATTGTATAAGGCGGTTATTTTAATTAGTGTCAAATAAATTCAAATTAAATTCAATTCATTAACTCTTAATATGTTTATAAAAAAATTTAATTTGAGAATTGCTTTGTTGTTAAAATGAATATAAATTTATATTATTAACAGTTGCATTACCATTAAGAGTAATTTAAATCATAATTATTAAGGTCAAAGTTTGAAATTGACATCGTTATAATAATAATAATTTGATTTTTTTTAAAAATTTTTAGTTAATCTTTTAAAAATAAAAGTATTTATATAGTGCTGTATTTAAAATAATTAAAATATGTGTTTAAAAGTAAATTTTATTGATTTAAGTAAAAGTAAACGAAATAATAATAAATTGATTTAATTATATTATTTAGTGAGTTTTATCTTCAATCGATTCTAACATAATGATTTCATAAGTTTATCATAAAGTAAATTAATTAATTAGATTTGATAATTAAAGTTAAAAAAAAAATATGAAAAGAAAAAAATTTTCTTATTTTTACAAAAAAAAATTAAAATTTTTTAATTTCTTATTTTAATTATATCGAAATCGAAGAAGATACATGTCAGTTATAATTTTATTATTATTATTATTAATTTCTAGTAAATTATTTATTATTAGATTACCCTTTATATTTTAATTTTAATTTTCAACATTCATTTTTACTATTTAAATAATAATGATGATAATTTTAAATTATAATTTATTGTGCAAATGACGACAAATTGAATCTGACATTTTTTATGTTTTGCTTCTTTGTATTTAAAAAAAAAAAAAAAAATTATTCGACTTTGAGTTTTTGTTTTTTTTTTTTTTTGTGAGCCAGTAAAATGAATAATTATTGATGCAAACGCTTTTAATAACAAATATTTGGCACTTTATTATTGTTTTTTTTATTTTAAGTATATATTGTTTAATTTCGATAATCAATTCCCCTTTTTGCAATAATTTCATTTAAATAAAAAGACAAAAACAACAACAAACAAACAAAATGTTGCTAACATTAAAATAACTCTTACAAAAAAAAAAAAAAAAAATTTCAAGGTGTGTTTTTAAAAAGTGACAAATCACCTAAATAGTTTTTTTTTTTTTTTTTTTAAATATATATATATATATATATATATATATATATTAGTGAACGAACGGATTTATTTATAAAAACTGTGTAAAAAAAATTTAAAATTATTTCACATAGGTCTTCTTTGCAGTTGTAGTCCCAATCTATTTTGGAACGAATAAATTTTTAAAATTATTATTATTATTATTATGAAAATGTCGTGGCTCTTACAGAGAATTCCAGTAAATCAACAAACACAATCAAAACAATCAACAACAACAAGAGAGAAGGATTAAATTTTAAAAAATTTGAAATTTTTTGTCTGAAAATAAATTTTGTTTTTTTTTTTTTTTTTTTTTAATTCGAAACGGCTAAAAATCAAAACAAAAAAATCGAACGAACGTCTAGAGCGAACGTTGTTTGCATTAAAAAAAAAAAAAAAAAAATATCATTCAATATTTTTTTTATAAGGCAGCCGGACAGTTTTTTATTTTAAATTTTTTTTTTTTTTCTTTTGGTTATTTTTTATTTAATTTTATTTGTTACGTTGTTATTATCATTATTATTCTCGTTACGGATTTTGTAAACGTTCGAAATGGAAAATCGTTAATGTTAAAAAAAAAAAAATTAGTTTTACGTGTTTATCGAGAATTTTGAAATCGTAGTAGTTTTTTTTTTAGTTACCAAAACTTTCGGGGAATAATCATTATTATTATTATCAATTACGGTTAATCGCGGTTTTCGAAGGACTTTTCACCGCATTCGCGATAAAAAAAAAAAAAAAGAAAAAAAAAATGTTTTCCAGGTTTCCGAAAAAGAAATCACTTTTAAATTGTGAAAAATTCGAGGTGAGTTAAAAAAAAAAAAAAATTTTTTTTATTCGGTTTAATTTATCCGTGATAAGTTTTTCAAACATGGCGTCCGAATAATCGTTAACAATTTTGTATAATGTTAATTGTTGGAATTGATTATTTATTTATTATTATTATTATTATTATTTCGAAGCGTTTTTAAGGGGAGATTATCACAATTTTACGTTAATTGGTTATTAATATAATCGATCGATTGAATTTCTTTTCGGTTGTCATGCGGAGGAATTAAAAGAAATTAACCAAGTTTTTTTTTTTTTTTTTTTTTTTTTTTTTTTTTTTTTTTTTGTTTTCTTTTCGGCGTTGCCCGGCTCTCAATAATATTATTGATTTTTGTTTTAAAAGGTTTAACGAACGCATTACGTACGTACGTTCGTACGAACGAACGAACGAACGAACGTAACGCGTTCAAAAAAAAAAAAAAAAGCCGTAACGAATTTTATTCACTTTTTTTTTAACGTTTTTTCACGTTTTAAAAATGATGATGATTTTAATGGCGGACACGACGAGTATGATTGACATCATCAACGTCATCATCGTGTCATTAACCGTCGTCGTAAATTCAATCGTGAAGAGTTTATAATTACACCTTTTATTTCCTTCCACGTTCTTTTTTAAGATGAAAGAAGGAGGAGGGGGAAAACGTATATTTAATGGCATCGTCGTCATGCGTTATTTACAAAAAAAAAAAAAAAAAAAGAGGAAATTGCTTTTATAAATTTTATTTATTTATTTGCTCGTTTGAGATTTAATAAATGAGACAATTTGGATTTTTCAAATTTTGCTTTATATATATACTATTTTAAAGTCAGACATTTTTTTTCCCTCGCTAAATGTTTAAAAAAAAAATTTTTGATGAAATTGTTATTTATTATTAAAATAATTTAAGTTCGATGGGAAATAATAATGATAATGATGATGATGATAACTACAGCAGCAGCAGCAAAAAAAAAATGATTTAAATTTTGGGTTTGTCCAAATAGTTTCTCTCTCTCTCTCTCTCTCTCTCTCTCTCTCTCTCTCTCTCTCTCTGTGTTGAAAAAGTGTTGAATATTTTAAAAACGTAACCGCTTTGCCCAAAATAACTCGGTTTCTTTATTTATTTATTTATTTTTCTTTTTTTTTTTTTTTAGCGTTCTAATTTTTATTTCGGATTGGATTAAAAACCGAAAAAAAAAATTTTATTCGATTTTAATTAAAAAAATTTTTTTTATTTATTTTGTATGCGATTTATTTATTTTATTTCTGTCGTCGTCGTCTTCGTTTTTTAGAATTTTATTTTGTTTTTTTTTTCTTCTTCCCCCTCCCCCCTCCCCTCCTTCCCCAGCCCCTGATGGTCACGGGAAGAGAGAATCGCGATTAAAAAGCCAAAAAAAAAAAAATTATGACGAGTTTGAGTTCAAAAGTGGATTTTTTTTTTTTTTTTTTTTTCGCGGTTGGCACCTCGATGAATCCCGACGAATTCTCGCTCGTAATTGAGTGCGTGAGTGCGTGCGCGCCCTCCCTCCCTCCTGAAAAATCAAAATCGATATCTTCCCCTCCCCCTTTTTTTTTTTTTGCTGTTAAACAAGGACCCACCGATCGAAATGAAAATTATTATTATTATTATTATTATTTTTCTTTTTCTTTTTCCAGAAGCGCCTTCAAAAAGAGTTAATGTCGTTAATAAAAGAACCACCGCCTGGTATGACGGTGGATTCTAGTGCAGCTAGTCAAAATTTAATGCAGTGGATAATTCAAATGGACGGAGCACCGGGAACATTGTACGAGGGGGAAAAATTTGAACTCCTATTTAAATTTAGTACTAAATATCCATTTGACAGTCCCGAAGTGACGTTTCAGGGCCCAAATATTCCGGTTCATCCTCACGTGTATAGTAACGGTCACATATGTTTAAGCATACTCACAGAAGACTGGTCTCCGGCTTTGTCAGTGCAATCCGTGTGTCTTAGCATAATATCCATGCTTAGCAGTTGTAAGGAAAAGGTGGGTGAAAATTATCCCCCCCTCTCTCTCTCTCTCTCTCTCTTGCACGTGCATTCCGCCGTCCTTACGGCAACATTATAATAATGATAAACGTTTTTTTTTTTTTTTTTTAGAAAAGACCATCTGATAATTCGTTTTACGTCAAAACATGTAATAAAAATCCGAAAAAGACAAAATGGTGGTACCACGGTGAGTTTTCCCATTTATTATTATTATTATTATTATTATTATTAATTGTTTTTCTTAACCTTCTTGATCGTTGAGTTTTTCTTTTCTGTTTGTTTTAGATGATACGGTATAGCATATGGCGACGAGTTTTCTTTCTTTTTTTTTCTTTTTTTTTTTTTTTTTTTTTTTTTTTTAAATAAAAAAATTTGCCATTTATTTATTTATATATATATATTACGGTAGGAATTTGAAAGGATACTCACACACACACACACACACACCCCTAATTCGTCTTATTTACCAAGAACATAATTGCCGCTTTATTAAAATGTTTTTATTATTATTATTGTTATTATTATTATTATTATTCTCGAAGCATTATTACATTCGAAGACATTTGGTAAAATAAAAGAGGGAAAAAGAAAAAAAATGAGGAGAGAAAAAAAAAATTTGAAGTGAAAGGTAGGTAAATTTGTTTAATGTAATTAAAAAAAATGTTGTTGTTGTTGTTGTTGTTGTTGAGTATTTGTTTGTTGTAATTTTCAGACAAACCAAAGAAAAAGGAAAAAAAAAAAGGGAAAAAAAACACAAATTCACCGGTGCTTTAAACATTTAACGGAAATTAATCTCGGAAAAGCTAGCTATTACACATTCCTTGTACCTTCGAATTAATTAAGGATTTAAATATATATATATATTAATAATATATAATAATTAAATAAATAAATAAATAATCAATTGAAAACTTTAATTACTAAAAGCAAATAAATAAATTTAAAAAAAAAAAAAAAAAAAATTTTTTTACAAGTTACATTAGAAAGACATTAGTTTATTATTATTATTATATTGTGTTTATATATATATATATTTATATATATAGATAAGTTTATGCATTTAATTTTTATTATTATTATTATTATAAAAAATAAATTAATGGAATTGTAAAAAATAAAATTTGTTTTATAGTTAAAAAATTTATTTATTTTTTTATTTTATTTTATTTTTGTTTTGATTGATGTTTAAATAATTTGAAATTTTAACGCGAAATATAAACGCGTAAACGGGGAAATGATTCGGTTTTAAATAAATAAATAAATTATTTAAATAATTTTAAAAAATTATTGAAAACTACATAAAAAGTTTTTAAATTTGTAATTTTTATCGTCGCATGATATCATACGTTACAAAATTATTATTTTCTTTATTATTATTATTATTATTCGATATACGTGTTTTTTTTTTATTATTATTATCGAAAATTGTTTGGGTTGTTAGCCATTACGAGTTGTTAGCGTTAAAAAAAGATGAAAAAAAAAAAAAAAAATTTTCTTTTACTCTTGAATATGAAATCGGTTGAAACCATAGAGATCAAATGTTTACATCATCTATGATATTAATTTGAATTTACTTAAAGTGTATCTCGGAGGTTTTGTTTACTGCCCGCTTAAATAAGTTGGCTAACCTGTTTTCGTAATTTAATTTTTTCTACTGTAATTTTTCTTTACATTTGAAAAATGGCTAAGAGAATTGCATCTAGTTCAGTTAACTGGTCTTTAATAAATCAATATGCAACTGATAAAACGACATACGTCGCATTCAAAACTCTTTCGGATAAATATTTACGAAGGTTTGTTAAATTTATTAATAGTTTTTTCTTATTATTTTATTTTATTTTTTAATTTTTTTTTTTTTTTTACAATTTCAATTTTTTTTACTAACTTTCATTATTACCTGTTAAAATGAATTTTATATTTAGTGTGACAGCATTACCCGGTGAATTACCAACCATCGATTGGGAACATTATAAATCAAAAATTTCTACTCCAGCAGTAGTCGATGCTTTTAAAACTAAATATACATCATTAAAAATCCCATATCCGTCTGATCAGGGTGCTATAGCTCAGATAGATACTCAAACTGATAAAATTGTAACTAAACACAAAGAACAAACAGAAAATATTGCTAAAGGCATTGCTGAATTGACTAAAGAATTAGAAAAACTTAAAAATACTTTACCATATTCCGAAATGAACATGGAAGAATATTACGAAGCTAATACTGCTGATGCCTATAATCCTGATAAACCCGGTGTTTGGCCCAATATTCATGATCCTAATTATAAGGATCCCACATTGTAAAATGATTTTGATGCTTTGAATGATGAAAAGTAGTTCAACTTCATATAAAATAATAAATATTATATTTAGTATGAAATTGTAATATTAATATTTATAAAACTTAATTTTTCAAATTAAAAAAACATTTTAATTTTGAATATCTTTTTGTATCGTTCTTTATTTAAAATCGACCTATTAACTTTTTTTCTATAAATAGTCATTTCATACTATTAAAATATTTTTTTACTGATTTAGTTAATATAAGTCGACAAAATAAACTGAACACTTCATATGAAAAACTTTAAAATATTTTACTTAATAAGGAAACGAAAATAAAATAAATTTTTTCTTTTTTTTTTTTCTAAAAAGTAATTTATTCAAAAAATGAATTAATTAGCCATACACCAATGATATTATTGGTTAAACAGTATCAAAAAAAAAAAAACATGATTTAATAAAAAAATTGTTAATAAATGTAACAACATAAAAAAAAATCTCAACCTTTAAAAATAATCGTATAAAATTGTAGTTTTTTCTCATTTTTCTCATAAATCTTTTCTTTTTTCCTAAAACTCTTTTCTTTTCTTTTTTTAAAATTTTGTTCTTTTTAAAAATTAAAAAAAAAATTTCATAAAAATAATAATAATAATAATAATTTTTCTCATTAATCAAAACATGGATTTTTACGATTTAATAGTACATTGATATAATAATAATAATAATAATAAAAAAAAAAAAAGTAAAAATAAAATAAAAACAATGAAACAAAAATTGAAAATAATAATAATAATAATTGATAAAAAGATGAAAAGAGAGCTTAATTCCAAAAAAAAAAAAAGAAATACAATACAATAGAAAATAAATTAATTTATGAAAAGAAAAAAAAATAAAACTAATGTAAAAGTAAAATGTGTTAACGTTTTTCCTTCTTCTTCTCTTCTTTTTTTTTTTTCTGTTTAACCGCCATTTTGTCTTTTACAATAAGTTACAATCGAGCCAACTGAACCAGCAGTTTTATTTATTTATTATCCTTTTATTTTTTCTTAGTTTTATAAATAAGTAAGTAGTTCGAGCTATTTAATTTTTTAATAATGATTACCCTGATTACTCTTTTCGTGTTGTACCTGAAACTTTTTTTTTTTTCCGAAATAGCCGCCAACTAAACTACATTTGTTTTGTTTTTCGTTTTTTTTTTTTTTTTTCACATTCTCATATTGTATCATTATAATTTTTTCGACATCAACGGTGGCGGATGAGATCTTTGCTGTTGCTGTTGATATCCGTAACTACCGCTATCGTACTGTTGATACTGCTGATTTGAATTATACCCTTGCATGAGTGAAGAGTAACTTTGCTGACTTGTCTGATAAGATTTCTGATAAGATGAGTGTTGGGATTGAGATTGTTGATGATGATGATAACCGCTGTTGTTGTAACTTTGCTGTTGATACTGTTGAGATTGGGAATTGTAATCGTTGTAACTGTTAGAACTCGATGAATTCTTCCCCGGATTATCGGAAAACCTGCTTCTTTTGATCCCGACTCTATGTCTATCACTTCTCTCACTTCCCCTTCTATCCCCACCATCCCCTCCTCGGCTCATGGTTAAGGATCCGCTCATTCGACTGCTGCGATCAGACCCGATCCCATTTCCTCCCCGACTTAATCCCCTTCCGGTAAAACTCCTCTCTTCCCGTTTTAATCCAGAAGTTCGTCCTCCTAAAACATTAAACAAAAACGTAAACGTCATCGATTCGTGCGAACATTCATTCTCCATTAAAAAAAAAAAAAAAAAAAATTTATTTACTCACGTTTCCCGAATCCAGTGTAGGAAACGAGTTCGTATAATTTCGGGTTGACAACTTGATTGGCTTCCTGTAGTACAGCCACCAAATCCCCTGCCTTGTTCACGTTTGACGGAGTGAAAAATGTATAGGCCGTACCTGTTTTGTCGTGTCGACCCGTGCGCCCTATACGATGCACATAATCCTCCGAATTATTCGGGTAATCAAAATTGATAACAAATTTGACATCATCCACATCTGAATGAAAGAAAATTTTTCAAGTGAAAAAAAAAAAAAAAAAAAAAAAAATAGTTTGTGGAAAACTCATTGGGAAAAAAAAAAAATTATTATTATTATGTTGTTGTTATTAAGGTACAAAGGTGGAAAACTAAAAAAAAAAACAGAAACAAAAACATTAAAATTTATTATGAAAGAAAACATAAAAACCTTTTTTTTTTTTTTTTTTCTCTCTAAATTTGACTTCTGATTACAACTTATTAAAAAAAAAAAAAAAAAATCTTTGATGATAATAATGATATAAATGTTCCTGAGCAAAGGAAAAAAAAAAACTTAAGCAAAAAATATATAAAATAATTACCTCCTGGGCATTCCTTTCCATATTCCTGTAATTTAGCATATCTTCTGTCTCTTTTCTTTTACTCATTTATATATATATATATATTTTTAAATAAATATATGTATGTTTATGTACATTTATTTATTTTTTTAATTATTTTAATTTAAAGATTATAATAATTTCCGATATTTCAAGGGATATATTATTTCTTTTTTGTTTGTTTGTTTGTTTTGTTTGTTTTGTGTAAGGCTATTATTTATGAAAAGAGGAACACCCTGCGTCTGCAGTTCACAATGGCAAAGCCGTGTGGTTTTCTTTAAACGAAACCATTAACAGTTATTTTCATCTCCTCGTAACTCTGTGGGCGGCGGCTGTCACGCACGCGTTCGGCCGAGACCCGTTGAGGTTTGAGGAGCGGATACCAATCAGAGGCACTGCGGAACCCAAACAGCCAAATAGCTTTCATCAGCCACCTTTGGCACTGGTTAAACGCTTTTCTTTTACCTTCAATGCATGTGCCTCTGAAAAAAGAGAAAAAAAAAAAAAAAAAAAAAACCAGACTGGATTAATTTGACAAATTGATGCCTTTTTCATTTCTTTTTAAACATATTATTCACACAGCCAACATCTTCAATTTATATAAATTACACTGTTCAAAAACAAAAATTTTCATTTTTTTTTTTTTTTTTTTGTCTCAAAATGATATAGACATCTAAAAAAAAAAAAAAGGGTAAATTAACGGCAGTACCTCCTTTCCCCCCCCCCGCTCCTTCCCTAAACATATAATTCCTGTAAAAAAATCTATTAATCAAAACTAATGAACTAATATTTATTTTTAAATTGCATCCATCTTTTTTTTCTTTTTGCTTTTGTATTGATTTTGCCTTCGTTCATAAAAATCAACAGAACGCAAACAAATGACTTGATATTATTAACCCTACAACTCATAATTACATATCGTTACACAAATGAAAAATGTTATGGAAAACATACTATAACACTTGATGATATAATACTTTTGATAAAGTTCCTCCATTCAAATTGATTTAAAATTGAAAAAGCATGAAATGAAATAATATTTAAAAATTTATAATAAATGATACTCAATTTAAATTTTTTTTTGCGAATAAGAATGAATAAATATATAAATGACAGTTTCATGTTCATTTTGACAATCCAAATTATTATTGCATTAATAATTATTTTTCATTCTCGAAAACATCCCATCTATTACATCAAAAACATTAATCCCCCTTTTTCCCTTTTTCATTTCAAACAAAATTAACTACCACAGGCATCAGAAAATTGCTTTGTCACTCTTCCCAGTCTGGAAACTATTGCCACATGATCTTTACCAAAACACAGGTTGACCCCCTTTTACTAAAGAAAGAAAACCCAAAGATGATTTAGTTCAATTGTACCTAAGGTATTATTAGGGCGTATTATTTACACTAGATTAGAATAAAATTTATTAATGAGATTATTTCTTTTCTTTTTTTTGGAATTTTAAATGGTGATTAAAATTATTTGCGGTATATTAGTTGAAAAAGCAGTATGTATTGTTGATAAATTTTTTTTCTATGAACTTACCTAAACCACGTGCAGCAACGTCAGTGGCAACTAAAATATTTACTCTACCGCATCTAAATTGATTTAATACATAATCTCTATCACTTTGGGATTTGTCTCCGTGAATAGCAAGCGCTTGGTAACCATATCGAGTCACTGCTCTAGCAATTTCATCTACTTTTTTTTTCGTTTCAACAAATATCATCGTTTTGGTTTCAGGCTCATTGGCTATTTCATTAAGTAACTTAAGCAATCTAAAAATTTACACAGAAAATGTTAATTTTTTAAAATAACATATTCAATTGAAGGCTATTAGAAAATCTTTTTAAAAGTTAATGTTTATCCATTTTACACATATATTCATATTCCAATGAGGGACATAATAAATATTACCCTTTAATAAAATACTTAAATAAAAAATTTTAACTAACTTTGTTTGTTTTTCATATTCAGAACAAACATCCACTATTTGGAGTATATTGTGATTAGCCGAAAGTTGAAGAGATCCTATATTTATTTGAACATAATCATTTAAAAATTCTTCTGCCAACCTTCGAACTTCTTTAGGCCAAGTAGCTGACCACATTAATACTTGTCTGTCAGGCTAGAAAAAAACTCATCATTAAAAATTATAAATTAACTTTTTTTTTTTAAAAAAAAAAAAAAGTCTGTCAAAACTCACTCTAATTTGTTCAATAATTTTTCTTATTTGAGGTTCAAAGCCCATGTCTAGCATTCTATCAGCCTCATCAAGGACTAAATATGTACACCTCCTTAAATTTGTAGTTCCCTTTTCTAAAAAATCAATTAATCTTCCTGGAGTTGCAATACATATCTCTACCCCTGATTCTAGGTCTCTAGCTTGAAGCATTTTAGGTGCACCTCCAAAAATACATGTGTTTCTCACTGCAGATGATGTACCAAAATCACAAGCTACCTGCTGAATTTGTTGGGCTAACTCCCTTGTAGGGGCCAAAACTAATACTATAGGACCTTCACCCCTTAAAAGTCTAGGTTGATGATTAATATGAACAATAGCAGGCAGTATATACTGAAAATTTTTTGGATTCTAAATAATGTGACAAAAAAATTTTTCAAACCTAACTTAAATATAAAACTATCTCACAGCTAAAGTTTTGCCAGATCCTGTTTGTGCTATTCCCACCATATCCATACCACTCAATGCTATGGGCCAACCCTGTGCTTGAATTGCTGTCGGTTCTGTGAACCCTTGCTTTTGAATTTCTCTTTGAACATAATCAGGCCAATTTGCATCACTAAAGTACATAATTGGATCAGGTACTTTGATCCCTTTAACTGTAATTTCTTTTTCATGCCTATACTTTTCTACTTCATGTCTTGATCTTTTTAAAACATTTGGATGAGGAATATAAAAATTTTTTGTGAAAGGCTGTAATTCTATTTGATTCCACCTGGGTTTCCTTAATGCACCTCCAGGTTGTTTGCCTTTTAATGAACTTCTTTTAGTTACAAAACGTCTTCCTACACTGCTATCCCTATGAGATACTGGCCCACCACTCCCTCTTCTTGACACTCCGCTACCACCTCGTCTGCTACTACCTACACCACCGCCACCACCACCTCTTCGTATTTTGGAGTCACGGCTCCTAGAACGATCACCCGGCCTATAATAAAAATAAATTCTTTACTAACAGTCAAATATTTTCCAATGAAGCCTAAAAAAAACCTTAATAAAAAATTAATCGTAATATAATCCTAAAATATATAAAAAATAGTAATTATATAATAATAATTATTTGACATTACATTAAAAAAAAAAAACAAAGAACATGAAATGAAATGAAATAGAGAAATTAAAAAATTTTAAGGTTTGAGTAAAAATTATGCGTATTTAGAATTTAAAAATGGATACATTTAAAATACGTGATAAAAATATGGAAAAACCTCATGGATTTTAATATTGATTAAAAAACAAATCTTGGTCATTAATTTAACAGATTTAAGTATTTACTTAATCATTCAAGCATTTAATTAACTATATATGTAAAATAAAATATTTTACTCACATTACTCTGGTTTATAGATATATAGTTATTGACAAACGAACAGACGCGTCACTGTGATTTCTGCCGAATCAAGGTTTCCACTACCAGAAGCGCTTAAAAATTTCAAGATTTTTAGGTACAGATTTAAACGCAAACCCTTTTATTTTAAAAGATTTTAATTATGTTTTATTGAATAAGTATCAAATTACTGTTACGTTGAAATTTTTTTTTTTATAAATAATAACAAAAAATTTTTTAAATCCAATAAGTTACACACTTTTACATCATAACATTGTAGACTGTGGAAACATTTATACTTGCCTTCTTGAAAAATAAATTTGTCGGCCATATTCAAACAACGTCCTCAATGGAGTGTTAAAAAGGTTAGGTTTTTGATAATTTTTTATAAATTATGAATTCTAAAGTAGAAGTAAATCACAGAGTTTTTGTAATCCAAGCAAAGAAAAAGCGTCATAAGCCCGGTAAAAAGAAAAAAGAGCTCGATTCAATTATCTCTAGCAATTCTAAGCAACAAAACAAGTCAGATCCTGTTCCCAGCCGTTCTTCACCAAATAAAACAATTCAGGATGACGATGAAGATTTTTACTGCTCTGACGAAGATGAACAAGAAGATTCGAGTGATTACTGTAAAGGGGGATATCATCCAGTTAAAATCGGCGATGTTTTTCAAAACAGGTACAGGGTAACAAGAAAGCTCGGATGGGGTCATTTTTCAACTGTGTGGCTTTGTTGGGATTTTTTGGATAGACGGTTTGTTGCTTTGAAAGTTGTTAAAAGTGCATCGCACTTTACCGACACTGCTTTAGATGAAATCAAACTTTTAAGAACTGTCAGAGAAGCAGATCCTTCAGATCCAAAGAAGAATAAAACTATTCAAATGCTCAATGACTTTAAAATTACTGGTATTAATGGTACCCATGTTTGTATGGTATTTGAAGTTCTCGGATACAATTTGTTGAAGTTAATTATTAGAAGCAGTTATAGGGGTATACCAATAAGTAATGTAAAATCAATAATTCGCCAGGTACTAGAAGGATTAGACTACTTGCATACAAAATGTAAAATAATTCATACAGATATTAAACCGGAAAATGTATTAGTTTGTGTGAGTGAAGAATATATAAGAAAACTTGCTTGTGAAGCAACCGATATGCATTCACAAGGTTTAAAACTTCCTGTATCACTTGTTAGTACTGCTCCTAAAGAATTTCAAGAACCAAAAATGGATGCTAAAATGTCCAAAAACAAAAAGAAAAAACTTAAAAAGAAAGCTAAGAGGCAAGAAGAAATTTTGAAAAAACAAATTCAACAAATGGAAGAAATGGTAGAAGGCAAAAAAGAATTATTGTCAAGTGGAGATCAGACAGATACCAATATAAGTCCAGATCTTACTGAAGAAACTAAAACAGACAATAATGAAAATGAAAAATATATATTGGGTTCTCCTGGTAAAATATCTCCCATAGTTAATGGATGTGATAAATTTGATAAGCAGCTAGAAGAAGAAAAGGGATCAGGGGAAGGAGAATTTCAAGAAAATGCATCATTAGAAAACAAAGTCACAGAAGATGAGGACAAGTTTGAAAATAAGAATGACAAAGAAAATGAAACTCTTAAAGAAACAAATGTAGATCTAGATAATTTACAGGATTGTAAGGATGATAATAATTCAAAAGAAGATATTCCTAAAGAGTGTAAAATAATGAATATTCTTGATCATAATAAAGAGGCTGATGTTGAAGATGGTGATATAGAAGGGGATGAAGAAGAAGAAGAAGATGAACTTAAATTTTCAGATAATACGAATAAAAACAAATTGGATTTGAAAAAAGGACTAATGAAAGATTTTGATACTGGCCCTGATCCAGCCCTTGTTCCTTGTGATGTTGAAGTTAAAATAGCTGACCTTGGCAATGCTTGTTGGACGCATTGCCATTTTACCGAAGACATACAAACAAGGCAATATAGAAGTCTTGAAGTTCTTCTCGGAGCTGGTTATAACACATCAGCAGATATCTGGTCCACTGCTTGCATGGCATTTGAATTAGCTACAGGAGATTATTTGTTTGAACCTCATTCTGGAGAAGATTATAGTAGAGATGAAGATCATTTAGCCCACATTATAGAATTATTAGGAGAGATTCCGAAAAGAATTGCTTTAAGTGGCAAACATTCAAAGCAATTTTTCAATGCAAAATGTCAACTTAGGCGTATTGTCGGATTGAAACCATGGAGTTTATTCGAAGTTCTCGTGGACAAGTACAAATGGGAATGTTATGAAGCTAGGGAATTCACAAATTTTTTAACGCCCATGTTAGATTTTGATCCAAATCGTCGTGCGACTGCTGAAGAATGTTTGAGGCATCCATGGTTAAAAAATTCAAATTGAAAGCCTATCATCATTATCTAGACTATAAAAATAATTTTTTAAAAAAAAACAAAAAAACAAAAAAAAAAAATTTCAGTTAAAATTAATTAAGGATGAGAAATGGCAAACATGAAAAATGTTCAGAATAACCGACTACAATTTTTTATCTAAATGATATTATGTAGTTGGAAATATACTACTAAAGCAGTGAAACATGACAAAATTTTAGTGATCATCAAAACTGTTTATAGTGTAAGAAAAATAGGAACAAACTATATTAACTAAATAACTTTATTGTATGCCTTAGGTTGTTTGTGTAGCATCTATTGTATCATTTACATTAAAAAAAAAAAAAAAAAAAAAAGCAAAAAGTAATTAGACTGTTAATAAATGCATATACATACATACATATTATAAAAATATATATATATATATTTATATATTATAATGATATATATAAATATATATATGTATGACACTTCAAAAGTATACATACTTAATTATAAGTATATAATATTTATAGAATAGTGTCTTCTTAAAAAGTAGTGTAACTTTAAAAATTGGAAAAAAAACAAAATCGAGTTACAGAAAAGTACCTATGTAATATCAACAACACAAAAAGAAACCTGCTAAGGGAAATTAAATATCAATATGAGTTAAATTGTAGTTTTCGAAACTGGCTGACATTTTCTTCAACATAATAACTTGGTGAGTTTAACCGAAAAAAAAAACAAAACAAAATAATTTTCTATTTTAAATTAAAATTAAAATTAATTACTTTTAATTTTTTGTAAATGAATGAATTCTCAAAGAGACAATTTAAAATTGAAAAAAAGAAATAAAAATTTTTTTTTATTAATTATTAATTATTATTATTTTTTTTTTTGCAGATTGTTGATGATACTAAATGACTAAAAAGATACACAGATAGATAGATAGATAGATAGATAAATAGATAGATAGATTGATGGTAGATAGCCGTTTGGTAAGTTTTAAGTCTAAAATTCAAAATGACAAAAAAAAAAAAAAAAGTTTTTTTAAAGTTTTTCGGTTATTTACGGTTTTCTTTTTTTTTTCTTTTACATTTTAATCAAAATGTCGGAAAAAAAAAAAAATAAATAAAATTGTAAAATCGTATGAGGAAGTATGAAAGTATTTTAATTGATCAATGGTAGCCATTGGTTTCGGTAAAAACAGCATTTCCGGTTTTATTTTCTCACGCTTTATTGGAACAACAACAACAACAACAACAATCATATAATGATGAATTTCATAAGAAAATCGATGTCGTTTTTTTTTTTTTTTTTTTTTTTTTATTATTATTATTATTTGAAACGTTTTAACTAGCTAGTCATTTAAAAGAATTATTATTATTATTATTATTATTATTATTATTATTAATTCAAAAGCTCTCTCTTTTTGGCAATTTTTATTGCTTTGTTTTTTTTTTCCTTCGCATGAACAAAATAAAATTTATTAAACTTTAGCGTGTGTATCTTTTTTTTTTTTATTATAAATAAAATATAATGTAAATAAATTCCATCCGCGTAATGTATCACGTCCAGGAATGCACGTATACCATCCACGTGCACCTCCAAGCTTCAAATAATAATAATGCTACTAATTTTTGTCCGCCATTTTTTTTTTTTCCGATCTTTTAATAGGAAATAATTTATGAGTTATTTTAAGAGAGGGATTTGAAAAGTTAAAAATGATGACAAAATCAGTCAGTTTGTATACCGTTAAGGGTGGGGGTGGGGGTTGGGGGATGGAGGGAACGGGGGGGGAAAGGTAAAAAGTAAACGTCCATAAAAATTTTTACGTGTTAGAATGTTGTTAAATATTTAAAAGTAGAAATGTAGAAATAATAATAATAATAATAATAATAATAATAATAATAATAATAATAATAATGATTTTGTAGGAGTTATGAAAAGGTTGTGTGTGTCTCTCTCTCACTAGCATTATTGATAAGTGATAAAAGGAAAAAAAAAAAAAAAAAAAAAAAAAAGGAAAAAGGAAAAATGCTGTTTTTACATGGAAACTAATAAAGATGAGTGGAAAAATTAAAAAAAAAAAATTTAATAAGCACGTTCACCCTTTCTTGTATTTATTTTATTTTAACATAAAATTTATTATTTAAATTTTTTATTAAGAAAAAAGGAAAAAATTAAAAGGAAAATTTAAAAAAAAATTTTTTTCTCGTAAAGGTTTGGTGTGTGTGTGTGTGTGCGCCGGTTAAACGATATTTTTATTTTTTATTTTTAAATCCAGCTTAACTTTAATGGGGAAATAATAATAATAATAATAATAATAATAATTTAAAATAACAGTGTCAACTGATTTTAACGCTATCACGTAACGTAATGACGTAAATAATAATAATAATAATAATAATAATAATAATAATAAATTCGTGATAATAATCCGTGATAAATCCGATGTGTGAGAGGTAAAAAAAAAATTATTTATTATTAATATTTATTAATTTTTTTATTTTGTAAGGTTAGTTAGTTATTATTATTATTATCATTTGTTTTTATTTTTATTTTATTTAAAAAAATTTTACTTCAAGGTAATAAAAAAAAAAAAAAAAAAAAAAAATTGTTGCTTCTTGAATAATATTCAACACGTTTTGACAATTTAAATATTTTTAACGGATTTAAATAATACTTAAACTTGCTATAATTTTTTTTTAAGAGTACGTAATAATAATAATGATGATGATGATGATGATGATGAGCTTCCAACTAAGCAAAAGTTTGTTTTTTTTTTTTTTTTTTAATAACAAACAACGTGATAAAAAATTGATAATGATTTTTTAAGTTTGCGTAAGTTAAAAGGAAAACAAAAATGGCGGATAGTTTGTTTTTATATTTTATACGCGTAAAAAAAAAAAAAAAAAAAAAAAAGGAGGCGGTCGAAATAATTATTTATTCAAAAGTTGATTTTAATCCCAAATTTTTTAAACATCCGGTTTTTTTGTGATTTTCTTTGCCAATAATATATTTACGAGAGACGTTGATTGCGTGCATATGACGTCACAAATCCATCATCCTTTTTTTTTATATATGGGTATCTTCATTTAAAATGTACGCATGCGTATATTTGTAGTCATTCAAGGTGAATTCATTTCCGGTTTGGAAAATGAAAGTTTTCAACGAAAAATTACGTACTTTCGAAATTAAAAAATTTTTAACTATGAAAAGAATGAAAAAATTTTATTTTTTGAGTAAAGGGCCACGACCGCGATTCGAAACCGAACCTTTGAACCCTTTTTAGTCCTTTTTTTTTTTTTTTTTTAAATCTTTATTTATTTATTTATTTTTATTTAGCTCGAATTCTTGCAGGGAAATTTAATCCCCGGATATTATTTTCCCTGTTTGACTCTGTTTTTTTTTTTTTTTTTAAAACATTTTATTTAATCCTCGTTGTTAAATAAAAATGAAACGTTTTTTTTTTCTTTTTGGAGAGGGTGGGGCGGGGGGAGATGGCTTAATGAATTTTTAATAATTAATTTTACGTGGTTTTGAATTAATTAAAATTTGGCGGTAATTAACGATTTATTAAAACGGGGGAGGGAGGGAAAGGGGGAAGAAAAAAATTATTTTAAGATTAATAAAATAATTCTGTTCGAATGTGTTTTGATTGAGGGAAGTATTTCCGAATGATTTATTATTATTATTATTATTATTATTATTATTATTATTATTATCATTATCGTTTTCTGGCGCACACGATTAAATACGAATTTAAATTTTCAACACGTCATATATTTTATTTTCGATTTTTGGCAAACTAAACGCGGTGATGAAAAAAGAAAAAAAAAATTTTTTTCGATAATAAAATGTAAATGAAAATGTATTTATGAAAATTTTTGTAAAAAGTAATTATTTAGGAAAAAAGGAAAATATTAAAAATATTAAAAAAACCTGAAAGATTTTCCTTTTTGTTGTGATAAAAGCATGAAAAGTATTTTTTTTTTTTAGTTTTAGAAATTAGGATTTTTTTTTTTTTTAAAATTCGTAATAGTTAATTTAATTAGCACAACGTAAATTGTAAAAAACGTTATTTAATTATTATTATTATTAAAAAAAAAGAAACCGTAGGTAATTTTAATGATGGTAATAATAATAATGATTTATAAAAATATAATCTATTCGTTGTGAAAAAAAAAAAATTGTCCAATGAATGTCACATTAGATTATATATACGGAAAAAAAATAATAATAATAATAAATAACTACTTCCGGTCAATGTTTGTTAAAATCACCCTCAATATATTTATATTTATATTATGATATTATTATTATATAGTTAAGCTAATCAAATATAAATACAAAAAAAAAACTTTTTTTTTAAAAAGGTTAGAGCGGGGCCAATTTTAAATTTGTTTTTTTTTTTTTTTTTCTATATATAGTCGTCAGCCATTTTGTTTCGCCCGTCAAAAAAAAAAGATCTGTTTTTTATTATTTAATAATACCCTTAAGTAATAATAATAATAATAATAATAATAAAATTGATATTTTTTTCTTTTTGTAACAAAGAGCAGATGAGTAAAAAAAAAAAAAAAAAAAAAGAAAAAGAAAAAAAAAAAGCTTTTGCAGCTTTAAATACGGTAAATACTGCCAATTATTATTAGTTGGCTTTAAACGTTTATTAGTAGAAAAATAATGATAATATAATAATAATAAATAATACGTTATTATTAAAAAAAAATAATAATAATTAAAAAATAAAAAAAATAAATTTTAGGATTATTTTATATCATTTAAATTATTTCCTGTTTTCATTTTTTCGTTTTTTTGTTTTCGTTTCATCATTTCCGGTTTAGTTTTTTGTTTTTTTTTGGTGCCGAAGTTAAAATTATGAAAACGTAAAAGAAAAACATGACTTTAATAAATAAAATTTTTTTTGCTTTTTTTTTATTAAATAAATTTTAATTGTGTGGATCTTTAAACGATTTTTTTTTTTTTTTTTGTAATTTATTTTATATTTAAATTATTTTTATTTGTTTTCAAATAAAAATCGCACAGTACAGTAGTATAATTTTATTTTTAAAAAAAATAAAAAATGTAAAAACTAAAAAAAATAAATAAAAATCCAACACAAATGAATTAAATTTTATTTTTTGTTTTACGAACCTAATCGAGTAAAAATATAAAAAATTCAAATTCAAATCGAGCTTGTTAAAAATAATTTAATTAAAAATTAGGCGTAAACGTTTAAGGCCCAAAAATGATGTTTTTTTTTTTATTACTCTTTCATCACTTCCTTAATACGCCCCTTAATTTACAAATGGGACGTTTTGGTTTTAAAAAAAAAAAAAAAAAAAAAAAAAAAAATGGAGGAAAAATTTAAATCCGCGCCGACGTAACGTTTATTTACAACTCATAAATTTTTCTTTTTTTCCTTTTTTATCGATCGAAAAATAATAAATTTAAAGCAAAAATAAAGGTAAGTAATAAAATATTACGTAATTAATTATTTGTTTAAATAAATAAATATTTATTTATTGAAAAGAATTCTCTCTCTCTCTCTCTCTTGATAGAATAAAAAGGGGGAAAAAATTTTTTTCGAACGAGAGAGACACAGAGGAAATAAATGTGACGTCACAATTCATTTTAAAAATTCGACAAAATTCCCGCCCACCATTTTTGTTTTTGTTGTTAAAAGGCGGGAAATTTTTGTTATTCGTTCCAAATGCATTCGAATTAATGATCCGTTTTACGACGTTGCATTTTTTTTTTTTCGTGATTTAAAATTAAAAAAAAACAAATTATTCTTTTTACTAATGCTCGGGATAATATTATTTAATAACTTTAGATCGTAAAAATAAAAAGAAATCACGTATGAACAATAAATAAATATGTCTGGGATTAAATTTGGAGTTTTGGGTGCTGGAGTAGTGGGTATGACGACATGTTTGGAACTTCAATCTCAATATCCGAATTCTGATATTTATTTAATCGCTGATAAATTTAACGAAGAGACTACGAGCGATGGAGCAGCTGGAATATTTAGACCCGGTACAAGTTTTTCAATTTATCCAGAAGAATATACAAAGTATGAAAAATGTCAAGCACTAAAAGATTATGACGTCATAATGAAGTTTTAATAGTTTTTTTTTTTTTTTTTTTTTAGGTTTGTAATCGAAGAATCTTATTGTTATTATGATGAAATTAGGAAAAAAATTAATCCTTTCGTGAGTGGAGTGTCCGAAATTTCCGGTTACATATTTTCCAGTAATAATTCATCATTGGTTAAAAATGATTTAATTGATAAAATTGTACCTGTTTATCGTTCAGCAAATGATGACGAATTATCCATTTGTCCAGGAAAATGGTTGTACGGATCTTATTTTGTTACTTTATTAACAGAATGTAGAAAATTTTTACCCTGGACATTACTAAGGTGAGATAATAATAATTTTTTTTTAACAAATCATATCCAAAATTAAAATTAAAATTTTATTTTTAAAATGAAAGATTTAAAGAAAATGGAGGAAGAGTTATAATGAAAAAAATTAATTCGATTAATGATTTGGGAGAATATAAATTTGATTTAATTTTTAATTGCTCAGGATTTGGCGCAAAATATATTTTTAACGATAGAAAATTAGTACCGATAAGAGGACAAGTTATAAAGGTAATTTTATCAATTTTTTTTTTTATTAAATTTGCGACATTTTTTTATTAAAAAAAAAAAATAATTATTAACAGGTAAAGGCTCCTTGGTTAAAAAATTTTTTCTATGCTGATTATGATACCTACGTCATACCAGGTTTGGAAAATGTCACTTTGGGTGGTTGTAGACACTACGACAGCTATGATTTAAATATAAATCCTTACGATTCTGCAGCCATTTGGAATAGATGTGTACAATTGGTACCCGGTCTTAAAAATGTTAAAATTGAAAAAGAATGGGTCGGTTTAAGACCACATAGAGATCCTGTTAGAATTCAAATCGAATCCGTTAAATTAAATGATAAATACCTCAAGGTAAATTTTTTCTTTTTTTTTTTTACAATTAATAGAATTTCTATCATTTTAAACAAAATTTTTCTTTTTTTCAGTGCGTTCACAATTACGGCCATGGAGGTTATGGTGTGACAACAGCTCCAGGTTCGGCTAAACTTGCCGTTAAACTCGCAACTGATTATTTTAAAAAAAACAGTAAAATGTGAAACTAAGGTAAAACAAAACAAAAAAAAATTTAAATATTTTTTTTCTTTCTATATATATAAAAATATATTTCTAAAAAAATATATATATATAAATTAATTTATTTCTCTTTCAATTTATTAACTATTAATAATAATAATAATAACAATTATTTCTCACATTTGATACAATTTGTAATAACGTGTAAAAAAAAAAAAAAAAAATACTTTTGACTATATGATTTTTTTTTTTTAAAACTGTATTTAGAACCTTTTTTTTTCTGTTTTAAAAATGTGTGCAGTCATTAAAATAATAATACGTAAATTAAAATAATAGGGTAAAGAAGCACCAGGCATCTTTACAAAAAAAAAAAAAAAAAAAAATTACAATTTATAAATAAAATTAATTATTTTCATTTTAATAAATAATTTAAGTATTAAGTTTTTTTCTTAATTTGAACTCTTTGTATATGTGATACAACCTTTTAAAAATTTTAATTACAATAGCTCGCCTTGTTTCGTATAAAAACACACACAAAAAAAAAAAAAAAAAAAACCGATTTACGGTTAAAAAAAACGTTACGTTTTTTTTTTAAATATTCCAGATACGTTTTGAAGAGTGTTCGGTTTCGCATTGAATATTTTATTTACTCTGTTTCTGACGTCTTCTACCACGTCGTGTGTCGTCACGACGCCGCTCATCCTTTTACCGCCATCCGACGGTGATTTGGCAACGGTTTTGGAAGAATTTTCTTTCGTCGTTCCGGGTAATCGACGTTCCACATCTCTCATCATCGAATTAACTTGTTCCGAATGAGTCATATTCAACTGAGTGCAAACCACGTCGAGATTCCTTCAATAAAAAAGAATGGAATGATTATTAAAACGGTATCGATAAACGACTTCGACGGTTAAATTGATATAATCAACCTTAGAGCTGGAAGTAAACTCATCGAAACGCTTTGAGACGAGGCTTGAATTTGTGAAAAGGTTATGAATGAAAAAGCATCTATTAGACTTTCGACCATTTCTTTGTCTTTACATCGCAGAGCAAAAGAAGATAGCGTACATAATTGTGGCAGAACAACTGAAATAAATCGAGTCTACATAGTAAAACAACTGGTAAGTAAATTTAGTAGTAAAAACAAATTTTTTTTTTTTTTACCTTCTTCTCTGAATTTAACGTCGCAATTTTCATAAATTGATGCAAGCGTTTTGATGCATTGTATTAACAAACTGTAATTTTCCAAAGAAGTGCTTTCCGTTAACAAAGATTGAAGTGTCATGTTAACTTTATCTTTGATGGCTTTGTCCTTCGAGTTGATTAGCAACCCTTAAATAATTAAATACATTATTCAATTTAATTTCGTTCGGAAAAAATTTTTCCCCGGAACGTTTATTATGAAAATTATTTGATTTATTGCACGTACCTAACGCTGGTATCGTGCTTGCTTTCACGGAAGGTTCTGGATCACTCGCTAAAGTAACTAAAGCAGGCATTATCTTGGTATTGATTAAAATTTCAGGTGTGTGGTGTATAACTTGTCGTAACAAGGAAGCGCTTCCGCATCGAACCAACAACCTCTGATGAACTACGCCTATAACAAAATATTCATCAACTGTTAGGATTAACACTTCAGACTGGAATTTACACGTGAGTAACGTTTTTTTTACCTTCCCATATCGCGTCTAATATTAATATTTGCCACGGTTGAAATTGACAAAGGATTTCCACGGTGACTTTCAAAGGAGTCAATGAAACTCCACACAAAGGTAAGGCACAAATAAATCTCCTTAGGGTATTGCTCATTTCTTGAAGTTCTTCGGGAAAAGTAGACAAAACTCCTACTAAGTACAGAGGTATTATTGCGCATTTGTAATCTTGACCGGATACGACAGCATTTTCGCATTCCATTAATTTTTCCAATAAGACTGGTTTTACCTAGTATGAAGTAATCCATTTTAATTTTCATAAAACTCTAACAAACGTTAAATATTTAAATTCTGCACTTACAATGAGATTGGTCACCCTTTTTCCCAAACCCAAACACAAATATCTTAACGTGGACATTAATTTTTTTAATACTTCGGTATCCTCCCAAAAATTATCCCCAGTTTCTAATATGTACGAGACAAAAATATCTTTTATCCAATCGAATTCAGGGCATTCGGATAAATTAAATTCTGATTTTGACGTGTAATTATCGAATGCGGATAATAATTTTTCTGGTTGTTCCATACAAAATAATTTCGGATCGCAAAGTCCTTTACACAAAGTGGTAAATTCTTCCCCTACAAAAAAAAAAGCATAAAATTTTATGACAAAATGTCTAAGTAAAAACTTGTAAAACTCGTAAATAAAATTAATCTTACTGTCAATATTTAGACATTCATTTTTGTCAGGATTCGAAAGCAATACTTCAGAGCTTGCAACAGTCATAACGACAAAAGGTAGTAAATTTTCAACAATGCACATGCAATTTAAATTTTTTTCCTTTTTTATTTTGCACAATAATTTGAATAATAAACTGGACAATATTTTTTTATTCGAAAAACTCCATTGAGCCAACGATGGAAATAACAATTCTTTTGTTACTCTAATAACTTCTGATGATTCATCGTTTAAAACCAAAAAACACATTTCTGACACTTGATCGTATTTATCTTCGTCAGAAATCAAAGCGATAAGTAGAGCTACTATTTTAATGGCCACTTTTCGTATATTTTCATCGCGATCCTCTAGTAATTGCTGTGCGATTGATAAAATAAGGGAATTTCGAATGGCCTCCTGCAGAAAAAAAAAAAAAAATGACAAAAAATTTGAAATAAATGACGTTTTTCGGATTATAAACAAAATTTTTAAAATTTTCTTAGTGACACGTCTTACATACAGAAACGTATGGAACCAATACCAAACATGATTCGGCTGCTAAAATTCTTCTTTCGAGATATTTATGAGTTATTTGTTCCCAACACTGAGGTAATATTTCATTTTCGACCGTATTTGACCCTTTTAACTGAGCTATTTTCAAAAGACTTTGTAAAATTAAACTTCTTTCCTCCGATTGTGGCTTTTTTTTTAAATTAAAAAGCAAATTAAGAAGTTTATCTCTTTTAGGTGCGTCATCGTTAAGACATATGGACAATATTAACAATGGAATAATTTCCTGAAAATTTTTTAAGGAAGACATTAATAAGTAAGTTTACATAATTAAAATTTATAATAACTATAAAATACTTCTCACCTCTCTTTTGTTGAGTATTACATTTGGAATAATTTTTGGTAAACTATCTGATACAATTTTAACAATATCATCAATAGTAATATCTTGAAATAATTCAGCTTTCAAGCATTTATAATCAAAATTTTTATTGCTGTAAAAAACGTTTAAATTATCACAGTAATGAATAATTTTTTTTTTAAAATCACTCGGAATGTTTCTGCTAGAGTTTGAAATATTAAAAATTTTATCATCAAACATTTTTCCCGCCTGCTTTTTAAGTTTTTCCGATTCATTTAAACTTTTATACATTTCACTACAATTATCATGTTCGGTTTCGTTAAGACTTTTACAAGCATAATCACTAAAACTATTTAAATTTTCTCCTTCATTCTTATTATTATTAATCGAATGTTCTAAATTTTCCATTGGACATTTACAATCGGAAAGCATATCATCATTTTCTAATAAAATAGACTGAGCATCTCCTTTGTCATCATTACTTATAGATTCAAAATTAGATTGACTATCAGATTTTAAATCTAAACTTTCCTTTTTTAATTTTTCTTCTATTCGAGTCCATTCACCATTATCACTTTTAGTCTCAGATTCAGATTTTACCGTTTCTATAATTTCAAAATATTCAGGATCTGGAGTTTCACTCCTTTGAGATTCTTCTTCTTTAATTTTTCGATTCTCTAAATTCCTAATTCTGTTTGAATAATCTAATTCCATTGAAGTTATTTTATTGTTTAATTGAGAAATTTCAGATTCCTAAAAATATACACCATAGCTAATCGAGCTAAACATGATTCGATAAAAAGGTTTTAATTAGAAAAAATGTTTACCAATTCATTAATTTGTAAATTTTGTTTAACTTCATCATATAATGACACTTGGCATTCAAATTCTTTTGTTTCTACGCATATATTCGATTTGATACCCTTCAAACCTTCTCTGTATATGTAAAGGAGTTCAAATGGTCTCCCACAATTTAAACCAACATCATTCCAGTCTTCGAAATCTTGATTTTCATTTTCATCGGCAAATGTTATTGATGTTAACTTATAGCCATACAACAAGAGGTATTCGTTAATTAAAAAATTAAGGGCCCTTTGCTCGTGTGCTTTTATGGAAAGACTAGATTTGTTAAATGGTGATAAACATTCTTTCAAATTAGCCTTCTGAGATCTATTTTTACTAGTTTCAGATTCTGAAGCTGTTGTAAAAAAAATTATTGTTAAATTTGTAATAAGTATAAATAGTTAGTATAAATAATTAGATTTGATAAAATTTTATTACCAGCAGCTTCAGTCAAATTGGCTCGTAAAGCATTAATTGTGTCTTTTGCTTTTCTAAGTTCAAATTCTAAAACTGCCACTCTGTCATCTGTACTTCTTTCTCCATCTTCTGAATACCTAGTTAAATCTAAACTATCTAATGTAGCTTGACTCGATGATCTCGCTGTGTTGAAAAATTTAAAATTTATTATCGAGCATTTTTGATTGATTGTAAACATTGTAAACGAAAAACGTACGTAGATTTTCTGATTGAATAATTTCATGTTTGCTTAATGATCCCTGTTCAAAATTTAAAGGATTTGAAAAAAAATCTTTTAACTTTGGTAATTCTTTTCCACACTCGGTTAATTCAGCATAAAATTCCAGGGCTGTGAGATAAAAATTTTCAGACAATAACTTATCAGCAACATCATTATACCAAGAATGATTATGCAGAACGGAATTAGTCGTGTATTCTTTTTCCAAATTACTCATTTCAATAAACCTAATAATAATATGTATACAAATAAATAAATAAAAAACAAAAAAAAAAAAAAAATTGGTACTCTCACATATCAGTAAAATTAAAAATATTTATTTTAATGGTTGGTAAACGTCGTTCCGGTCCTTCAATTTCCGTCAAATAAAAATCACTTGTCAATTGTAATATCCGATTTTTTTTATTATTTGGCGCGTTTTTTAAAATAAGATTCTTTATTAAATAAAAAATTTTTTAATAAATTTCATTATTATTTTGTTTTTTCCTTTTATCTTATTTATTTAATAATTCAAACAATTTCAATCCTTTTTTACTATTTCAAATGAAATAAAAAAAATTAAAAATAATGGAAGGATAATAAAAGTATTTTAGATTTTAAAAGGTTTGAAAAAAAAAACTTATGTAATATGAAAATATTAATATATTTATAATTGATCAAAATTTTTTTTTTTAAAATATATTTTACAATAAAATAAATATTAATAAAAACATAAGAATTGACAATTTAATTATTAATCAAATTAAGAATGTCGTTTAAACTTACAGTTTTATTTACAATAATAAATATAGAAAAATATTTTCGATAATGTTTGTGCTAAAAAAACTTTCGATACAATTATAACATTTATTTTAAGCTACATAATAACAAATATTTTTCTAAGGCTTATGTATTAAAAAAAAAAAAAGGTATTATTCATGTAAATTTTTTTTTTTTACTAAACTATAAAGTTGCTAATATTCTAGTGAATGATATACAAATTATAGCTACGGTTTGACCGGCTCCCCAAAACATTGCATGAAGAGAAGTCATTTGAAGGCTTGATGAACGATAGACGAAAGCAATCGCTGCAGAACTAACAGCTCCGCATGTAATCGGAGTTATAACTCCCATAATAATAACTAATAGTGGAAAAAACCTGTTAAAAGTTAAACATAACACATAACTTTATAAGAAATTCATTACATCATTTTAAATTTAATTAAATATTTTTTTGTATTGTGTTATTTAACCCGAAATAAAATATGACAAAACTGATAGCTTTTAACTCACTTTCCAAATTTATGTTTTCTTAATGTAGTAAATGCAATTGTAGATGCAATTAAATGAACAAATATACTGGAAAATAATGCCCATAAGAAAACTTGGTACCACATTTCTCCAAATTTTTGTAAAATACACGATGGAAAAGAGCATTCAACATGATCAAGATCATGAGTTTTGGAAGGTGCAGAATTAGAAATCATGATTTAAATTTTACTTTAATTATATCATAATACATATTTGAAGAATACAAAAAACTTTCCCATTACAAAAAATTGAATTTCATTTTTTTTTTTTTTTTTTTTTTTTTTTTTAAACAAATTTAACTTTTGTTATTACAATATTAATTTTTTTTACAATAAAAATGACACTAATTAAAGAATTTATTTAAAAAGATTTATTTAACTTTATTAAAAAAAAACAATAATTAGTTATCAATTTTATTTTAAATACCAATAGTACATTAATCCAAAAATTTTTATGACTTAAGTTTTTTTTTTTTTTTTTTTTTTTTTTTTTTTTACAAAATATTTAATGAAAGATTTTATTTCGATATATCGAATGCAGTGTTGCAAACTTCCGGTTGATGACTAAAATGGTGGTGAACTGTGTTTTTTAGAAACGCAATGGCTGATAATAATTGCAGTACGTGTTTTTTTTTATATTTACCATGTTCAAAATTTTCTAAACGCTTTCCAATTTCGTAGAAGTTTTTCTCTACAAATACATTTGTTTAAAAATTATTGGTTTTACATTAATGCGGGGGAAAATTTCACATTTATTGTTTACTGTAAAATTGTGCTTTTAGGTTCATCTTCAGCATTAACTCCTATAATCATCACATCATCGGAACAAGACAAACCAGATACCAGTAATACAGATTCATTAGTGAAATCTTGCGACACTAAGAAAATTGAAGAAAAGATTTCGCCAAATGATGAAAAAGAATCAGTTGGTAATCAAGAGTCAAAACACACTTCATTGTTTAGTGAAACCTTAGCTTCTAATTCTAGTGATAAAAAAAATGGAGTTAAAATTAATGTAGAAAAAAATGTTATGGAAAATTCTACATCATTTCTTCGCCCGTCAAAATTGACTAATAGTTTTTCTTCATCCGCAAATAATACAAATAGTAATAATTCAACCTTGCCATTCAGTCTTAATTGCCCGAAACTTAATTTAAGTGAATCTAAATTTGGTGACAACACATTTACAAATTCAGTCGTATCTAACACAGTAGAATCTCCTACCGTTAATGCATCAAATAATAAGAATAATGATACAAAGGAAACTCCCTCTAAACCTAGTTTAGGATTATTTTCAAGTATATTAAATTCAAACAAAAATAATGCAAACACACAGTCATCAGTTATCACTGTACCAAATTTTGTTTTCGGCCAAAATTTGCACGAAAGAGTGTCAGATGCGGTAAAAGCAACCAATGTGAAGAAAGACTTGAGTGAAGAAACGAAAAGCAATGGAACTTCAGAAATGCTTTTCTCTTCTGTTTTAAGTAGTAAAGATGTGAAGGAAAATTTAACTCAGGATAGTTTCAACAATTCTAAAGAAACTTGTACTTTAATTGAAAATGCAGCTAAATGCCAAGAGGCGAGAGCAAGTAAACGAAAGTACGAAGAAGTTCTCGTAACTACAGGCGAAGAAGAAGAAGAAAATGTTTTGCAAGTGTGTTTCAAATTTAATTTTAGATATATTTATTTATAATCAATTGATTGATGTAATATTTGGTGAAAAAGTAAAAAAGGAAAATTATAATTTATTTTTATAATTTGTTTCAGATCAATGTCAAACTCTTTGCATTCGACAATGGAGCTTGGGTTGAAAGAGGTCGTGGGATACTAAGATTGAATGATAAAAAAAGTGAAGGTCAAACTTCTTCTAGAATTGTTATTAGAACTGTAGGAAACTTAAGAGTAGTAATGAACACCAAAATATGGAGTAAAATGTCATTAAGTAGAGCTAGTGAAAGAAGTGCAAGGCTGACTGCTATGGATCCCAATGGACAACTTAAAATATTTCTTTTACAGGTATTTTTTGAATTTTGAATGAATTTTTTTGATTTGAATTTTATTTAAAAAATCTATTTTTTTTTTTTTTTTTTTTTATTAATTTTAGGCAAGTATTAAGGACATGACTTCATTATACAGTTTATTGGAAGAGCGCATTAAATTATGCGAAGAGCAAAATTTGGAAAATGAATCATCGAGCCCTGATAAGAAAATAGCTTTAGAGAAAAATGAAATGTGATAAAAAAATTTTTTTATTTAATTTCATTGCTTTGCAATATTAATTTTTGCAGTATAAATAAATTCCCATTGAAAGATTTTGTTGTTGTGAAAATTGTTGTCGTTTTAACATTCATACCGTTCAAAAGATTTGAAGGTTCACAGTATTTTTGCTACCTGTTTTTTCTAATAAGCAATACAATTTTATTATTTTTTATTTAGATTTTAGTTTAGTTAGCTTTTAGAATTATTTTAGAAATTAACAAAAATTCATGTAAACTTTTCGAGTTTGAATTTTTTTTTTTTTTTTTCCCCCTCCCAGGCATTGGAAATACAGCGATGCTTGAAATAAATAATATTCTTATCGTATTGCAAAACATGTAAAATTTATCAATGCTTATATTAAAAAAAATATAAGAACTACTAAATACATATACTTTTTATTAAATGATTCATTTCCACGATTTAAATGCTACCATACATTGCTTATTACTAATATTTTTATCACATTTTTTTTTTTTTTCAAATTTAGAGGGTTAAAAATATATTTCCCAGTTGCATTTTTTTTTTTTTTTTGTACAATAAAACTACATTTACTTTAAACTATCAGGTTATTAAAACAAAAAATGTTTATATTTTATTTAAAAGTTTTAAATCTAAAATACTCAAACAAACACACGCACACACACACGCGTATATGTAAAAAATTTTAATTCTTGAGCTTTATATCTAAACAAGTATCGGATGGATTTTTATTATTATTTACAATAAGAATTGAAATTATAAAAAATCAAACTGATTTTAGAAAATAATTTATTTTCCATGTAACAAATAAAATATATTTAAAAAAAAGTGACTTTTAAAACATTTTATTCGAATTTCATTATTTTTTTTTTTTAAAAAAACATGGCTGCCATGTTTTTAAAGTTCAATTTTACTTTGGTAAGCCATTAAGTTGAAAAATAAAATTTTAAATAATTTTAGATAATGACGTACTTAATAGAATGAAATTTACATGAATATTTTTTTAAAATTTACTTTAACTTATTATATTCCTTTTCCCTTAAAGTTTTTTTAGTTTTTTGATAAGATAATGACTAAAACCTTACGTAAACAATAAACGTATTTGTTTTTTAGAATAAATCTACAGTTCTTCAATGGCAGCCTAAACAAAATGTAAGAAAAATAAAATTAATTTAATTTTCTAACCTTAATAAAAATAATTCTAAAACTTTTATTAATGAAATGATTCATAATTTATTTATTTATTTTAAAAAGTACAAATAATAAGTCTATTACATTTATTTATTTTTTTTTACGTGGCTAATGTAATCATCAATTCAAAAACCAGAATTGTGTTAGATTGAATAAATTTAAAACTTTATTTTTTAATAAAATTTTGATTTTTATATTTTTTTTTCTTTTAGTTGTTTTTATATTATTTTTGACTTACAAAATACATAATTTGTTGTTATTTTAAAATTCAATTATAATTAAAGAGAAATGAATGTCAAAAAAAACAGTTTGTCAAGTTTATCAATATGTAGACTTTAGATACTCAGTTAGTTTTCTACATATATAAAAAAAACAAAAAAATATTTAAATATAATTTTAATTGTGTTTAAATTAAATAATATATGTATATTTATTTCAGTTAAAAGTGACGTTGATCAATCATGTCTGAAAAAATACAAAAAAATGAAATTGAAGATATTGAGAGTGAGGTTAAAACAAACATTAAGGAACAAAAAAAAAAACATACTTCAAAAAGAAGAAAATCAAAGAAAAATCAAGGAAAAAATGGAATGATTTATAGTGACAGTGTAGAAACACTAAGTGAAGATACTCAATCTGAATCTGGAAATGGAAAGTGTAATAACACGAATAAAAAAGAATATTTGAATTCAAATTATAACATTAAATATAAAAATAAACAAGATGTAAATTCAGAAAATGAGGATAAATTAAAACAGGAGATGAAAGGAAATATTAATACTAATAGTAATCATAGTAGTTCGAAAGCTCTCATTAAAAAATGTTTAAAAATATGCTCTATAAAAAATTCTGGTAAATTAAAATACAGTATTTCAGTGCATTCTGAAAGTTTGGGTAACGATGACATTAATTTAAAAAAAAAAAATTCAAAAAATGAACTTGTAGTAGAAAAAAAGAAAAAAATTTATAAAAAAATTAACTATGAGAAAAAAATGCAAGATTTAGACAATGACTCTCATGAATTTTATAAAACTCCTAAAGAATTTTTCAAATCTGAATTTTGTGAGAAAAAAGATTTTAAAACTAGGGCAACTTATAATTCTTCCACACCTAATAAAAAGAAAAAAGAATTACTCGATTCTGAGGGGAATAAATTAAATTCAAAATTTCCAGAATATTTATCATCAAATGAACTAAAAACTTTAGCTAATTATGGGGTATTAATATCTGGTATTATTAGAATAAATCAAAAAAATTTTAAAGAAGCTTATATAAGTGCACCTGATAAAGGTATGGATATATTAATAGATAGCATTAGAGATCGAAATAGGGCATTAGAAGGCGATGAAGTTTTTATAGTACTGAAACCGAAAGAATATCAAAGGGTAAACACAGATTCCATTAACACTCAAAGAACTGCAGTTGTTGTCAGTATAAAGGCTCAAAATCACAAAAGGCAAGCTATTGGAACATTGAGTACAGTAACGAATAAAAAAGTAAATTATGTAATATTTTGCCCTAGAGACATGAGATTTCCTAGATTAAAAATAAAAAAATCAAATTGCCCCAGTGAATTCATTCAAAACCCTGAAAAATTCAATAACAAACTTTTTCTAGCTAAACTTTCTCAGTGGAATGATTTACAATTTGCTGACGGGTAATTCATTAAAATATTATTTTATTTAGTTTTCTTATTCAAAATCTTAATATGACTAATTTATTTTTTTTTTTTTAGTGAATTGATTGAAGAAGTTGGTACAGTTGGAAACATACAAGCAGAAACGAATGCAATTATTTTAGGATTAGGTTTGAAAATACCCTCTTACGATGAAAACCTGAAAAAGTATATACCATCTAATTCGATGACCATGACAGAAGAAGAAATTCTCAAACGTGAAGATTTTAGAAAAGAGTGTGTTTTTACTATTGATCCAGCTACAGCCGTGGATTTGGATGATGCAGTTAGTTGTAAGGAATTGAGCAATGGGAATTATGAAATTGGAGTTCACATATCAGATGTGTCATTTTACTTAAAAGAAAGTACTCCTCTTGATTTAGCTGTTTCACAACAAGCCACCAGTGTGTATTTTGTCGATAAGGTAATACACACCATGTTTTGTTTGTGTTAAAAAATTCATAATGATTATTTTACACTTAAAATTACTTTTTTTTTTTTTTTTAATTTTCTAGGTGTATCATATGCTTCCGTATGAGTTGTGTCGACTTTGTTCCTTAACTCCTGGAGAAGATAAATTGTCATTTTCAGTCTTATGGGAAGTAACACCTGATTGTCAAATATTGAGACACAGATTTGCAAAAACAGTTATTAATTCATGTGCTCAATTTTCTTACGAGCAAGTTCAGTCTATTATAAATGATTCATCTTCGAACACTGTTAATTTACCAAAACTTCATGGTTCTCATAAAAATATTGCCATAAGAAATATTATTAAAAAATTATTTGAATTTGCTTTCCATTTGAGGAAAAAGCGTTTTGATAACGGCGCTTTACGAATAGATCGAAAAAAAATTGTTTTTTGTTTAGATGCAAATTTAATGCCTCATGAATATAGGGCTGAAATACATGATGAATCGCATTATTTAATTGAAGAACTTATGTTATTAGCAAATATAACAGTTGCTGAAAAATTAATTGAACAATATCCAAATATTGCTTTCTTAAGGTCGCATTCTCCACCCGTAGTATTTGCTTTACAAAAATTACAAAAGAATTTGGAAAATTATAATTTATATTTGGATATAACAAATGCTGGATCAATAAATAATTTTCTTTTGAAATGCTCAGGTTCAGATTCTAAATCTGTTGCTCGAATGTTAGTTTTAAATAATCTTTTAGCAAAGCCTATGACGGTTAGTATTTCAAATTCATTTGACGCCATCTTGTTTCATTAATGTTTTCCATATGTATAAATTTACATGTATTTTTAGAGAGCGACGTACTATTGCTCAGGAAATTTTTCGAACGATGATGAAAGGCGACATTATGCCTTAAATGTACCTCTCTACACTCATTTTACATCTCCGATTCGTAGGTATGCAGATATTATGGTACATCGATTGATGTCTTCATACGTAAATGCAACGAATGCTCCACAATGGTCTAAAGATCATGTTCAAAGGTAAATTTTTCTATTTTTATTTCATGTTCGTTTAATTAAAAAAAAATTTAATTTCAATTTTTTTTTTCGTTTTTAGCATTGCTAATCAATGCAATAAACAAAAATATGCCGCCAAATTAGCAGGAGAAATGAGCGCCGAATTATTTTTTTCAATTTACATCGACCTTAAAGGATCTCTCATTTGCGAAGCAGTTGTTTGCGATATTAAAGATAAATCCTTTGATTGCATTATTTTATCAACTGGAACTCATCAGAGAGTTTACTTTGAGGTAAATTTTTATTTTGTCTAAAACGTTTTATTTAAATAAATAATAAAAACCATATTATTATTATTATTATTATTCTATTCGACGTAGCGAATAAAGGGAGAATTAAAAAAAACAATTAAAGATGGCGTTCCTAGGTTAACGATCAATTGGCCAACGGTTGTTAAAGATGAAAAAGAAGAAAACGTTGAAATAATCGAAATGTTTAGCATAGTAAAAGTTGAATTAAAGAAATATAAAGGTTTAAAAATTGAAGCAAAATTATTGAGTTTTTCTTCGGTTAGTGTTTAAGAACCTTAACACAGTTTTTTTCAAGAGTGTAAATAAAAAAATTAAATCTTTTTTACAAAAAAAGAAAAAAAAAAGTAAAAATAAGTGTAGTTGAAAACTTTTTTTTTTTTTTTAATAAGTATTTCTTTTTTATTTTTATAAATTCATATATATTCTCTCATACTTTAATATTTTAACAGGAAATGTATAATTACTGTAGACAGAAAAGAAATATAAATTTTAATCTTTTTATTTATTTTTAATAATTATTATACATTGATTTTATATTGTTGTTAATATTTATTAAATCTGATTTAAATGGTGCATACAATATTATATATTATGTATAAGATTATGTCATCGATAGAAACTTTATGTAATTTCCATAAAAAAAAATTGAATCACAAAACAGAATTTTTAATATTTAATCAGGTCTTTATCTATAATTTATTTAAAAAATACTTTAGACCATTTTTCAAATTTTTATTTTATTTAAAATAATTAACAAAAAAGAAAAAACATCTGTTTATTAAACTCTAACTTAATTTATTATATTTAAATGAGACTGTGTTATGTGATATAAATTTTACATGCGATTGCACTCTACAATTCTACCAAAATTAGAAAAATAAATTTTTAGTATAAAATTTTGTTAATAATATTTTATTATTATTATTATTATTATGAACTTTTATTGTGCTAAAGACTACATACTGTAAATAAGCATAAGTACTTATAAGTCACTCAAATAAAAATCTAGTTTTAAAAAAAATTATTCAAAAATATTTATAGTTAATGAAGTTGTAAATTGAATTCTTCGTCTTATTATTATTTCCTTATAGAGTTTTTTATTTTATTTTAAATTTAAATAATAAAAATAAACTCATTGTTTCATTCTGTAAATTTAAATTTCGTTTTGGCGGGTACAAGGAGTAAATCATTATGGTTGACATTAGCTTTAATTATTAGGAATTTATAATGACAATAAATTATAATTAATTTTTATGAATTTTTATTTTAATATAAAGTTATTTAAATAATTAAATGTTTTAATATTTGAAAAAAAAAAAACATTTTTCTTTAAAATGACGTCAAAATAAAAATCAGGAGGGTTTTACCGCTTGAATTTATCAAATCAAATGTTGGCGAAACTGGTAATAGAGAGAAAATGCTCTAATATTTTTCATTATGTGCGATTAAATTAAATACATGTTATATTAGTATAATAATTAATTTGCAAATAACTAAAGAGATTTCAAATAAATTTTTATTAAATTTAATATTAATTTGTTTTATTTATAAATTTTAATTATAAATATTTATAAGAAAAAATTTAAAAACGGGTGTGAATACGTGTTCGAAGTGATTGGAGAGTTCCAGTTAAACCGAAAAAAAAAAAAAAAAAGGAAAAACAAGGAAAAAAACAAAAAACTTTGTTTCATTTAAAATGAAATATTAAAATTTGTCATCAACATTTGTTGGCAGTGTTATTTAAATTTTAAAGTTTTTCACTGTCGTCCCGTTCAATAAACAGCTCAGATTACAATCAAGGTCCTTTAAAAAAGCTGTTCTTTAATTTCGTCATTTCGTTCAATACGTTTTTACAATACTGTTTTGTAAGTGCAATCGATTTAATGTCAAAAATTTTGACAATAATAAAAATCTGTAAAATGTTCATTTTAACACATCGATTTTAATAGTTGTTGTTATCAATTATAAGTTTCAAAATCCTATTATACCCCAAAGGTAAGTAAAAACTACTGTAACTATTTTCATTCATAAATAAGTTTTTATGTTAAATTTTTAAAATTATTATTATTGTTAAAATTTTTTTTAATAAATATACACAAAAGTTGAATTATATAATTGCATATATGAATTTACAAATATTTATGGCTTAGGTAATTAATAAATCAGAATTTTTTAACCCATAAAGATAAATAAATGTTTTTATTTTTATTTCTTTAATTAAAAAAGAACTTACATCAATTATAGTTTAATAATATGAATAATATTTATTATTATTGATATTTCTGCATTTATTGTCAATAGTCGGAAAAATTTTGACTTAACAATTTCATTTTTTTCATTTTAGATGGATGATAGTAGCAATTCAGATATTTGCAGGGTGTGTAGATCTGAAGGATTGCCAGATCGCCCCCTATTTCACCCATGCATTTGTACTGGTTCAATAAAATGGATTCACCAAGAATGTTTAATGCAATGGATGAGATATTCTAGAAAAGAATATTGTGAATTGTGTAGTCATAGATTTTCCTTCACTCCTATATATTCGCCCGATATGCCTCGACGGTTACCTCTAAGAGATGTTGCAGGTGGTTTACTTTCTAGTATTGCAACAGCTGTGAAATATTGGTTTCATTATACTCTTGTAGCCATTGCTTGGCTTGGAGTTGTACCTCTGACTGCTTGTAGGACTTACAGATGTTTATTTTCTGGATCTCTGGAATCAGTATGTTTTTTTTTGGCATTTAAATAAAATTTAAATGTACAAATCAAAAAAACTAAAAATTCTCTATTTAGATTATTACACTTCCACTTGATGTGTTAACAACTCAAAACATCCCGTCTGATGTTTTTCATGGATGCTTTGTAATTATTTGCACTCTCTTTGCTTTCATGGGTATGATTTGGTTAAGAGAGCAAATCATACATGGAGGTGGACCAGATTGGTTGGAAAGAGATCAACCTCAACAACAAATTGTTCAGGAACAAGTTGCACAAGAAAATGCAGAAAATTTGGTGGAACCAGCTAATTTAATTGATGCAGAAATCAATAATGACAACACAGTCAATCCAAATTTAAATAATCATAATAATAATAATAATAATAATAATATCAATAATATTAATTTCAATGGAGATGATGACAACAACAACAATAATTTAAATAATGATAATAACAACAATAATAATTTAAATAATGATAATAATAACAATAATAATAACAACAACAACAACCCTGAAGTAAGTTTTAGTAATTTTAGTTAATTTTTAGTTGTGAAAAATATTTAATAGTTAATCTTATAGGTAGGAGAACATCGCCCTGGGCCATTTCCTGAACCTAATGCAGCTGATAATGAAGATAATAATGTATTACCAGTTCAGCCTGGTGCAGGGCCAGTTGAAGGGATTGATCCTGATGCAGCTGAGAATGGTCAGGATGAAGGAAATTGGAATCCCATTGAATGGGATCGTGCTGTCGAAGAATTGACTTGGGAACGTTTGTTCGGTTTGGATGGTTCTTTGGTAATATATCTAAAACAGATTTTTTTTTACATTTAAGAATGTAAATAAATTACTAAGTGACAATTTTATAAGAGAAATAATTTTTTTTAGGTATTTTTGGAATATGTATTTTGGGTTGTGTCATTAAATACATTATTCATTATTATATTCGCTTTCTGTCCTTACCATTTTGGAAGTTTTGCTATAAGTGCATTTGGACTACGTGAAAAAACTATTGGAACTCATTTTGAAGGTTTAATAGCGACTCTTTGCGGTTATTGTGTCATTGGATTTTGTCTTGTTATTTTTCACTCAATTGCTAGCTTTTTAAATTTTCAAAAATCCAGAAGAATTTTGGGATATTGTTATGTCGTAGTAAAGGTTTTTATTTTATTTTAATTTTTTTTTATGTACAGAGAGTTAAATGATAGCATTTTTTTACTTTTATGTATTCCTAAAGGAAAAATTTTTTTTATTAAATTAGGTATCACTCCTCTCAGTGGTTGAAATAGGTGTATTGCCCTTGATATGTGGGTGGTGGCTAGATATATGTACTCTTGCCATGTTTGATGCAACTTTAAAGGATAGAGAGACAGGTTTTAAACTTGCTCCTGGAACATCCATGTTTATACATTGGCTAATTGGAATCATTTACGTATATTACTTTGCAAGCTTTGTATTGCTTTTAAGAGAAGTTTTACGACCAGGAGTCCTATGGTTTTTAATTAATTTAAACGACCCTGACTTTAGTCCCATTCAGGTATTGTAAAAAAAATATTATTCTTAACATAAAAAAATTTATTCATTAACCAATTTGACTTGTAGGAATTAATACACCTTCCTATAATTCATCATGTACGTCGTTTGTTGGCATCATCGGTTGTTTTTGGTACAGCCGTTTTATTAATGCTTTGGCTTCCGGTTAGAATTCTCAGAGCTATTTGGCCAAGTTTCTTACCATATACAGTATCATGGCAGAGCGATACTCAAGTTAATGAATTATCTCTCGAGTTACTTGTATTGCAGGTAAATGGGCACTGAAAAATGTTTGTAAATATTAACGAATAGATCCTTTTTTTTTTTTTTGTAAATAAATAATGTATAAAATGATTGTTTTGTTTTAGATAATAATACCCGCACTTTTGGATCAACCGCAATCCCGTGTTTGGATGAAAACATTAATTCGTTTATGGTGCAAATCAACAGCTTGGGCTCTTGGAATTCATTCATACCTTTTGGGGGACGAAGTCGAATCATCTAATAACGCAGAAAATGTTGAAAATAATGAAAATAATGACAACAATGACAACGATCAAGGAGTATTTAATAGAGTCGGAGGTCATCAAGCTCTTCTTCCTCGAGAAGGTCCTATTGGAGTTCAACCTTATCAAAGGCCAACTTGGTTTTACGTCAGGCTGTTAGGTAATTTAACTAAATGGACTAATTTTTAAAATTTAAACAAAAAAAATAAAATAAAAATTGTTTAAATTTCTTTTTTAGGTTTATTAATTGCACTCTTTGCTTCGTTAATTATTGCCAGTTTAGTGGCTTTAACCTTACCGGTGTGGATAGGTAGGCAACTCATGGTTTTTTGGGTCGGTGCTCCGCCGCCATGGATTACAGCTGCTCCGAATGGATCCATGACCACGGGAGAAGATATTCCCGTTAGGGTACACGAGCTCTATACAGCAGCTTCTGGTAAAAAAAAAAAAAAAAAAAAAAAAAAATTTTATATCTTTTCAAGTGCTTATACATAAAATAATGATTTTTTTATTTATTACAGGAACATATTTTTGTTGGTTGGTAGCGAGAGCCGTTACGCTTTTGAGATCATGGCTGCCTCAGGGAAGAGCTGCCATTTTGGAAAAAATGCGTCTGTGGTGTATTTGGGGATTAAAGTCTTTGGTGGCTTTCAGTGTTTTATTGGGAGTAATTCCTTTACTTTTTGGATTACTTTTGGAATTGGTCATTGTAATACCCTTGCGAGTTCCATTGGAGCAAACTCCAATACTTTTTGTTTGGCAAGATTGGGCATTAGGTAAAACCAAAACTTAAATATAAATTTAAAAAAAAAAAAAAAAAACAAAATTTTAATTCCTATTTTGATTTCAGGTGTTTTATATACAAAGATAGCATGTGCAGTTATAATGATGGGGCCCAACTGGTCCATGCAAAGAGCCATTGAACGCGTATATCGCGATGGAATTCGACATATGGATTTACAATTTATCATGGTCGAAATTGCGATGCCCGTAATTGCTTGTTTCGGTCTTGCCCTAGCAGTACCGTATGCTACAGCACACGGAATCGTTCCGCTCCTGATTTCAAATCTTCACGTGAGAAATTTAATTGTACGTCGTCTTTATCCGTTTTTGCTGATCGCTTTTCTCGCTGTTGGCGTCGTCATATTTCAAATACGACAATTTAAAAAATTATACGAACATATAAAAAACGATAAGTATTTAGTTGGTAAACGTCTGGTTAATTATGACCATAGGCGATCTCACATCACTAATTCTAGTGTTCAGTAAAATATTTTTTTATTATTATTATTATTATTATTATTATTATTATTATTATTTACAATAATAATGATTTAAATCTTTTTGACAGTCATGTCAATATCTACTGAGAGCTCTAACGTATAAAAAAAAAAAAAAAAAAAAGAAATTTTTAAATCATCTAAATTAATGCATTAAAAATAAGAGAAGATTTTATTTTGAGTGATCCAAATTATTATTATTATTATTATTATTATTATTATTGTCGATGTGATTTGAAAAGGGGGTCATCATTTATGTTTTTCTATATGTTATAATTTGACTGAATTTTTTAAAAAAAAAAAAAAAAAAAAAAAATTTGTAAATAATTTAGAAAAACTTAAATGTTGCTTATTTTTAACCAAAAAAAAAAAAAAAATTCCCTTCCATTTTTAAACGTTTGATTAATTAGAGGGGTTAACGAAAAAAATATTTTTTTTTTTTTTTTTTTTTTTTACACTCACTTTGAGTAACACTTTAATGACTGGATCACTCAAAATTTTTATTCGATTTTACAAATGATGTACCCGGGGGGGGGGGGGGAAATTTTGGCTTGATAGTTTTTTTTTATATATATATATATTAAGATTGTTTTTATTGATGAATTTTTTTTTTTTTTTTTATTAAAAAAAAAATTTTTATGAAATTATATATATATATATAAACATAAATGCATTATTAGCATACCAAATATAACAAACAAACTTGGTGTTGTCGGTTTTTTTTTCTTCGATTAATTAAATATTAATTAAAAATTTGGCTTAATTATTTATTATATACTTTATGATAAAATCAAAAGGGAAAAAATTTTCTTTTGAATTGTAAATTAAACTTGACTGATGTATAAATTTTATTAGTGTTGAATTGATGTAATTAAAATATGAACTTAAATTTTACATTCGGTTTTTTTTTTTTTTATTATAATTTATTTATTCGTTTCGACGACAAATTGTTAAATTAAATTTAGCTGAAAAAAAACTTATTATAGTTTCCCTAACCTGTGTAGGACATACTGAGGCTAAAAAAAAAAAAAAATAAAATAATAAATGCTATTCTTATCAATATCAAATAATAATAATAATAATTATCAGTTTTACTCACATTAACAAACCAAAAAGTCCCTTCTTTAAATATAATTTTTTTTATGAATGACATTGCAGAAGCAGGAAATATTGCATGTAAATGTAAATGTGAAATTGAATTAAAAGGAGGCCAATGAAATCCAAATCTAATGATTAAAAAAATAAAATTAATGAATACAAAAAAAAAAAAACTAAAGGCATCATTAATCATACCTTGCATCACAAATATCACCGTTATATTCTAATACAATACGTTGAGCATGTTTGACTAAATTTTCAACTAATGGTATATGTTCTTTTGTAAGGTGTTTAGCATTCAAAATATGAGTTTTTGGTACTAGAAGAAAATGATTTTCGGATGCAGGATAAAGGTCTTTAAAAATGACCACATCCTCATCTTTATATATTACGTGGGCTGGTTCTTTTCCGTTATATATATTACAAAACAAACATTCATTATGTGTCATTAAAAATAATGTTAAATGTTAAATGTCAGTTAACCGGAATTTCTTTATATCTAAGCAGACAATAAATTTTAGGGCCCCGAAAGGAAGTCGTCGTATTTAAATCAAATTTTGCTGTTTTCGTTTAGGTAACTTGTGGGTAAAAGCAAAATGTTTGCTACATTTAACTAAGTTTTTTTTTTTTTTTTAATTATTATAAATTTATAAATAATTATAAATAGTCCAAATGCCTCCTAAAGGTAAACAGCAGGCTCCAAGTAAAAAAGCGGAGCAAAAGAAGAAGGAAAAAATTATCGAGGTTTGCACACACACACACACTGGTTTTTATGAATCAATATTAAATGCCGTCTGTTTTATTTCTTTTTTGTTTAAAATTGTTAAAATACTAAGATTTTAAATAATTATTGTCATAAAAATTCAATTATAATTATAAATTTTTATTGCTTATGATGTTTTTTTCGCTATACATTTAAATTATTTAAAATATTATTGTATCGAGTACACAAGTGTTTTTGTGCTACTTGCTTGATATTAAACCGATATAGGTTTTAATCAAAACGTTTAGTAAATTTTATGCATTGATAAAAAAGTAAAATAGAAAATAATTCACATTTAATATTGAGAAATTAACTTACTTGTTTACAATATTCATCCGAATTGTATTTTTTGTATAAATATTTTGAAAATCTTTAATACATATTGATTCGAATGTTTCTTATAAGTTGTAAAAATGCTTAAAAAATTATTATTACTTTCAGGATAAAACCTTTGGTTTAAAAAATAAAAAAGGAGCCAAACAACAAAGATTTATACAACAGGTTGAAAAACAGGTTAAAACTGGAGGAGTTCCACCGAGAAAACTTCAAGATGAAAATCAAAAAAAAATTGAAAAGGAAAGAAAAGAACAAGAAAAGAAGGAAATGTCTCTTCTTTTTAGGCCAGTAGTAACTCAAAAAATAGAAAAAGGTTAGTTTTTTTGATTTGAAAATTTATTTCAAGTTCTCTCTTTAATACTTTAATACTTTGTTTTTAATTTTAAAATTTCAGGCACAGATCCTAAATCAGTTTTATGTGCATTCTATAAGCAAGGTCAATGTTCTAAAGGAGATAAATGTAAATTTTCTCATGATGTGAGTGTTGAAAGAAAGGTTGAAAAACGTAGCTTGTATGTTGATTTGAGAGACGACGATAACATGGAATCTTGGGATGAAGAAAAATTGCAAGAAGTCATTGGTAAAAAACATGGTGAAAGTAATTCTAGGAAACCTACAACTGAAATTGTAAATTTATTAAATATTATTAAAGAAATATTTTTTTTTTCGATTTAAAAATAATAATTGCTAAAAAAAGGTAATCGTTTTTTTTAAAAACAGATTTGCAAATATTTTTTACAAGCTGTTGAAAAAAATAAATATGGATGGTTTTGGGAATGTCCTAACGGAGGAGATAAGTGCATTTATAGACATGCATTACCACCTGGTTTTGTTTTAAAAAAAGATAAAAAAAAAGATGATAAAAAAGATGAAATTTCTATAGAAGAATTAGTTGAAAAAGAAAGAGCTGCTTTAGGAACAAATTTAACTAAAGTAACTCTTGAAACGATGACTGCTTGGAAAAAAAGAAAATTGAAAGAGAAAAAAGAACAACTTTTAAAAGAAGAAGAAAAGAAAAGGAACGACTACAAAGCTGGTCGTCAAATCGGGGTACATATGTTTCGATATTATATAATTAAACATATTTCACTTTAATGTAGTACCATCAAAAATTAACATATTTAATATGTTTTTTAATTTTCAAATTTATAGCTTTCTGGTCGTGAAATGTTTTACTTCAATCCTGATTTGGCAGCCAATGATCTTATGGATGAAGGAGATGAAGCATTTGATTCATATGCTCGTGAAGAAGAAGAAGATGAAGTTCAATATAAAGAACTTGAACTTGATTCTTTGGCAAAAGAAGCATCTGAAGTTGATGGTACAGGAACTGTAGCTCCTAACGATAGATTCAAAAGTGAAACATTATGTAATCAAACTAATTCTAAAGGTTAATTTTGATTAACAATCACTTTTTTTTTAAAACATTTTGGAAAGGAAATGGAAAAAACAACTTATTAAATATTATTTATTCATTGATTAATAATAAATTATTTTTTTTTTATTACAGATTCTAATAATTTGAATTCTCAATCAAATGCAGCTGCAGTACCAATCAATGAAAATTTATTTTTAGAAGATGATGTTGATTTAGATGAATTGGATGAATTAACAGATGATGTTGATAATTTAACCGTTAATAATTAGTTAATTGTTGAAAGGAACTATTATTATTATTATTATTATTCATGATTTAATCACAAGTTAAAAGTAAGAATTATTTATTTATTTTTTTTTTTCAAAAATAAATTTTATGAATTTTTTTTTAAACTTTTACAATTTTTCTTTTTAGGATATTTTCGATGCCAGCTTTAAATGTTACAGTACAATAGTGAGTACTCGAAATAATAACACAAAAAAAGTTTTTTTTTTTCCATTTATCAATGATGAATGTTAAAACAAGTAAGTGATTAAAAATAAATGAATCAATCGATAAAAAAAAAAAAATTTATTTATTTATTTATTTATTTATTGTTGTTTTATTTTTATTGTTTTATTCCATTCGGTCGAATTTTGATCTAACAATATTTAAAAGTAAATAATAAATTATTTGTTTTTATTATTTATTTTTATAACGAAAACTCTTTGTTTCAAATTTTAATGGTGCTCTATTTTTTATTACTCTTACTCTTCTCTAATATAACTTGAGTCATATCTTTCATCAATGTACACATTGATGTGCATGCCTGTATTTATTAAGGTACATCTTTTATTTCAAAATGATATTAATTTGCGATTGGAATTTCACTTTTAGGAATGGGGAATTTTTTAATTATGATGTTTTAAAAAGGATGCTAATAACAAAACAAAGCATTATACAAAAATTTTTTTTATTTTATAAAATACAATTATAAAAAATAATAATCTTTTTATATATATAAATAATTGATATATTTTTATAAAAATATATATTACATTACATATATATATATATATATATATATATATATATATAATTAACAATTTTTTAAAAAAAAGCTCTTAAAAAATTTATTGTAATAAAAATCAAACTAATTATCATCCAAATATAGACTAAAATAATCCAAATTTTGGATTTAAATGCAGAAGAATAAGTATTTGGATTATCCAATGTTTGTAATCTGGCATATGTCACCAATAAACATGGAATTAAATATTGAACACAGGATCCGCAATAAGAACCTATAATTCCCACTAATAGACTTAAATTAGATGTACAAAGAGCTAAGGCAGTAGGAGGTATGATAACTAAAAGTGGAAGTAAAAACTGATCTATGTACCATGTTTTTGGAGTCTCTTTTAAAATTAAGGCTCGAAAATTATTTTTAAGAGTTATGGCCAAAATGGGATAATTTGTACCAGTGGTAAAGATGGGGAATAAAGCCAAAAAATATGATATAATTATTACAGAATTAGATGAATCTTGATCTTCAGTTTCTTCCCAAAACTCTATCGAATACAGATCATTAACATCTTTAAATGCAAATATTGCCGTAAGACCTAATGCAATATAAAACAATGTAATAACAGAAAAATCCAATGGTATTAAATATTTTACATATTTTTTATCTCTAATAGGTTGTAATAATCCAGGAATTGAATGTTGGCACATGAAAGAGTAAACTACTGCCCCGAAAAGTGCAGGTAGAGCCACTATGGTAAGCGGCTGGGGATTACCTTCTTGTCCATCGATAAGTAATTTTGTTATGCTCCAAACCAGCATTATGGTAAAAGCCACAACTCTCAATAAAACGGTAAATATTTGTAGGAGCTTTGTTTTTTGTAAATTAAAAAAAGTAAAAGGACCGATAAGTGCTATAAAAAAAAAAATACTTATTCTATAAATGCACATTGTGGATAAAGTGGAGGATTCAAAACAAAGAACAGTATCAGATATTTCAAGGGTTGTTTTATTTAAGTTTCTCGCACACAAAACATTTGCCCATGTTTTTCCAAACACTACTGCGTATATGGCTAAATCGCCAAACAAATATAAACATAAGCTTGTATATATAATTACTTGACACCACTTGGGGCAAAGTAAAACAGCCATTTGTGCAATTTCATACTTCTCTGCGATGCTGTAAGCATCATCATCATCATCATCTTCTATAAGTCTTTGCCTGTCAGCTTCTGCCGAACTTGACTCGCCGTATTGCTTTCTAGACACAGCATTAGCCACAGCTAATGATTCCACAATGAAAGTTACAGTTATAAAACTGATTAATGCGAGCACAACTAATAAAAATATTCCTACTAACCAGCCTGCTCTTTGTAATGCACCAGGCAATGCCAAAGCACCAGTTCCAACAATTAGATTAAATAAAAATATAGAACCTACTTTAGCCGAATACTTATCATCATTTCGCGTGGCAGGCATTTTGTAATGTTGTCATATACATTTATACGCTAAAAATTTTAACAGATCATGTAAATATTATTTTTTTTTTTTAGTATCTAATGCCACGTTAAAACAAACGAACCACTAAATTAATTGAAACTTTTGTTTCTTAATTTAACCATAATTTTAGTTTTTAAGATGGCGACGAAAACGCAACAGAATTTTGATCCTCCTAGTTCGGCAAGCTCTGAAAGGTGTATATTTAAACTATAATATCATTTTAAAAGTTTTCTACATCAGAATTAATTGTAAATTTTAAAAAATTCTTCTTTTAAAATACGTATTACAAATCTTCGAATTTGACGTTTAACCCACATGCTTCTTAATTTAATTTATTTAAAAAATTATTATCAATTTTGTTTTTTTATTTGTTGTAGCGGAGCGGAAAGTGAAGATGTTTTCACAAATAAAGTGGAAGACATTCAAGATGAACCTTTTTATTTTTCTGACATTACTTCATCACCTGCCGTTCAACGAACCCCATTAGCTAAAGCTCCTCATTTTAAGCGTATTAGAGCTACTTCAACTTCGTCTAGC